CATGGGATCTTTGGCTCTACAGTATGTCTTATCTGAAGGACAGCACCTTCTACAGCTCAGAGTCCCTGTTGTAGGGGGTTTAAGCTCAGCCATTCTCACTTCTAGGAACACTCTTATGAAACAGTATTTTGGTAGGGCAATACAAGTACACGTGGAGATAGCTATAGATATTAAATAACTAAACCATAATACCACTTGATTATTTCAATTGTTTAATTTATTAAATACAGCAAAAACTAAATTATTAAAATTATCCCACCACTGTTCTCCTTTTGTTCTACTTAAGCCTTTCCACCTCACCTTTCCATGCTTACCATTGAGTTCTACTCACCTGAGCTATCCCTTTCGCCGCCTGCTTGTCTCCCTACCTTTTGTATAACGAATACTGCCTTGCCACCGACTACGGACCTGCCTTACGAATTGGACTTGGAAATCTCTCCCGACTCTTGGTTAACGAATATTGCCTTCCCACCGACCACTGACCTGTCTCACCAATCGGATTTGGTTTTCGGACTCAGCCCTTTGGCTAACGGGTCTCGACCCTCTTTCCTGACCACGGTACTGCTTTACGATTTGGACTTCGGTGACGAAACACGCACTCTCTCTCACTCCTGCCCCGCACAGGGTCCTAAACTACGCATCATGACAATTTAAAGGAAAAGTAATTATAACTTAGCAAATAGGTGTGTATGTAGTACAAACTTAAATGCCTCCATCTTGGTGTACTTTCCCTAAAAGGATTTTTAGTAAAATGCAGTGACTTTAAAATTAATTCAGAAGATGTAAAAAATTATGTAGTTTTGAGGTCCATCAGTGTCATAATTTGAGAGAGTTTTCTGGGGGGGAATAGATTTTTTTTCTAAGCCAGTTGAAAAACTGCTGGAATTCGAATGCTAAAACTGCCCTTGTGATACCAAAGGACACCGTCAAACTAATGTGTGTTACCTTTACTAATGTATGGATGAAAACCAGATTTCCAAAGGAGCTACAGTAGAAACAAGGCAGAAAAGAGTGGTATAAATGAATATGGGAGGGTTAGGTCATTAGAGCTTGTAACGTTGCAAGTGAAGAAAAGGGGAACATCCCTGGATTCCAAGAGAGAAAATCGGTCAAGAAGATCTCCTGCAAGATGTTGGAGAAACCTGCTGGACCAAGCTGGAAGGCAGTAAAACACCAGAGTTGTTATATGATGCTCCCAGGGAGATGGGGATCTTGCAGCAAAAGCTCCTGCTGCTGCTGCTGTTTTATACAGTTTAACAATAGCCCACTGATACTTGGATATTTAGTGAAATCCTGTAGTCCAGGATCATGACAGTAGTCGTTCACATCTTCTTTTATAGCATTAGTTTGCTTTCCATGTCATCGTTTTTAAAGTGGATTATGCAGGACACCAGTGAGGTGAACAAAATTTTAGTTATGCTTGAATTTTTGAAGGAAAAAGTCATCAGTTTTGAAAATAAAACAAGATCCGTCGCACAAAGCCTGGGATGCAGAAACTAGTGGACCTGAATCAGATCTGGAGCTAATTCCACACTGTGAGCAACTGATTTCATCACTTGGAAGAGTTGTGGTTTCATACACAGTATATTGATAGATAATAGGCACAATAAAGGTACATTTATATAAGAAGCAAAAAAAAAAACTGTATAGTTAAAATACCTATTATAGTTCATTGTCTAGTTTTCATTTGCACAAGGTGAAATTCCAAGATGTATTTTTATGTTTAAAGCTTTGAGTTATAGAAGAGTATATTTCATGTTATTGGTATAATAATCTCTTTATGAGTTGTGCTTTATTACAAAATGCTATATATTTACAACAGTTTAACTGGAAAGGCTTTTGCCTTCTGAATGCCATATTGCTGGAGCAATCCAGGAGTTTTTCAAGTGTCACGCAATATTTAACTGTGATGACATGAGTAGCAGTAGCTGCACGGGTTGAATTTGATGTTAACTGTTCAAGGCATGGGTTGTTTAATTGCATTGTAATACAGGCAGTTGGAAAATGTGGATGGATGTTTTTGGTTAGTTGCTGAAATAGTACAGAAGCTTTGGAATCTTCAGAGCTGTACAGCATTTCAAGTGTATGATAATGTAGGTGTGATAGGGCAAGGCTGTAAACGGTAAAGTATACTGACTTGCTCTACATTAAAAAAAATGGATTTTATTTTATTCAGAAATATGCATTTTGTAAATGTTTATAAAGCTATTGCTATGTGTTATATATTTTTTTTCTAAGTGAAACTAGATTCCATTATTCAGGTTTGGTGTCATAAGGCATTATAAACAATTGCATACAAGACATACCTGCCACACCATCAGTGGCCATACTGAGTGTCATCAAAAGTTAAACAAATTAAATTGGAACAAATGGCATTTGTAGTATTTTAGTGCTCATCGGTATATATAGAGATCATTTCTTATATCACATGAGATGAAGGCAGAATTCCAAGAAGAAAACCTTTGCAGAAAGTACTTTGGACAGTCCATAAAAAGTATTAAGACTAGTTAACATTTAATGCACTTTTGGTACTCTACATATAAATGCCTCTTTGTTACATAAACCCTGTTTTAAAATGATTGAAGTCTTGTTTTAAGGTGTGCTGTGGATAATCTAGAAAAGCCAGTCTGGTCCAGAAGGGTGGGACAGAAAAACACAAAAGCATAAAACATTCAACATACTGACTTAATTCTTGCTGCTAAGTGTAGTTTCTTTTTCCTCAATCCTTATTAAAATATTGATTATCAACACATCACACAGAAACATTTTTAGGGAAATATTGACATTTATTATCAACTAATAGTAAAACAATAGTTATGATACAATTATAGATACAGTTACTGTTATAAGAAACAAATGTGGCATTTGGTGTGTCAAAAGTCATAGGGCCTACTGTATAAAATGTCTGGCAGCAGGACACTGCCAAATATATTTGCAATTACTGTTTAAATGGGTTTCCAAATGAGAGCATTAGAAAGTTAATATTGGGTATGACCTCCCTAGCCAGTACAATCCTGGCTGAGGTAATGGAGATTCAAACATTTTCTGAATAGTCTTCAGTTTTAGGTTACAAAAACCGTTCATTCATAGATTTTACCCCTTCTTGGTTTTCTTCGTCTTGGTTTCAGAAAATCCTGTCTGCAGCAAGACATTGACATTGCTTTCTTAGAGTAATGACAGTCAAATTCTAGTGGGTAGCTGCGTCAGCATGCGTAGGCTGCAAAGGAAAGTAAAGGTTTACTCCATGCTGAAAAGAGAAGAAAGGAAACACAACGTTTCGGCTGTGGAACCTTCATTGGGTGTGGACCACACAGCTGAAACGTTGTTTCCTTTCTTCTCTTTTCAGCATCTAATAATAATAATAATAATAATTTCTCACACTTATATAGCACTTTTCTGGACACTCCAGTCAAAGCACTTTACAGGTAATGGGGACTCCCCTCCACCACTAATGTGCAGTCCCACCTGGATGATGTGACAGCAGCCATAGTGCGCCAGAACGCTCACCACACATCAGATATCAGTGGGGAGGAGATCAGAGTAATGTAGCCAATTTATAGAGGGGGATTATTAGGAGACCATGATTGGTAAAGGCCAATGGGAAATTTGGCCATGATGCCAGGGTTACACCCCTACTCTTTTCGAGAAACGCCCTGGGATTTTTAGTGACCACAGAGAGTCAGGACCTCAGTTTTACGTCTCATCCGAAAGACGGCGCCTGTTTACAGTGAAGTGTCCCCGTCACTATACTGGGGCATTAGGACCCACATGGACCGCATGTTGAACAGCCCCTGGCCCCACTAACACCTCTTCCAGCAGCAACCTTATTTTTTCCCAAGAGGTCTCCATCCAGGTACTGACCAGGCTCACACCAGCTTAGCTTCAGTGGGTTACCAGTTGTGAGTTGCAAAGTGATATGGCAACTTCTTGAACCTTTTGGGTGTTCCTTTACTTGTATAAACCTTTACTTGTTCCTTTGCAATCTAATTCTAATTCTAGCACTGTCTTTTATTGTCTTGTATTGTATCCTTGTGCTGTATAGTTCTTGTTTTATCTTGCTAGAAAAGAGGTTCTTTCCAGGAACAAATATTGTTTGCTCAAGGACTTTGTCAATATGTCCAGCACCCCATTAGTTAAGTGGAACAACACAACAGTCACCATACACCTTACCCCAATGTCTCCAATCACTGTCTTTCTTCAGGTGAGTTAAGGGTGAGACAGCATTAGTGAATAAAACAAACCTCCACATTTACTGTCACTGCATTAGTTGCTCTCTGGCCCACAGAACACAGCAATTTCATCTCTCTACTTTCAAATTACAAATGAAAAGCCTCTAAGCAAGAACATCCTTTTCATGCAGATGGTGAACTACAGTGATTGTGTCTTGGCATTTTCTGTGCTGCAACTACTGCAGTCACAAAGGACCATTGTATAGAAGCATCAGATGGTTGTAATGATACTGTGCCAGTGCAGAGATCATCTGATTTCCAGGATGTGATCTAGTCTGCTGACTGTTGAAGTAGAACATCTCATTCACTAGGTACCAACTCTCACAAAAAAACTGCCATCAATAGCACTGAAAGCACCATCATGTCTTGTCTGATACAGATTCTTAATCCTCTCATTTTAATCATTTTAACTCAACTTGCAATCCAAATAACTCCTAATGTTTTTATGGAATGACATGATTTGTTCTCAGTATATTGTCAACCCAATGAACAATTCTACTCAACCAATCAACATCATGTGCGGTATTTATGTAAAACAGATTTTGATGTGCATCAGTTTCTATTGATTGATATATACAGTATATTAATCAATGTAGTAACACAGCTTAAAGGAACATCATCACAGAGTAAAACATCAAGCTAAATGTTTATCAAGAGGAACAATGGTCAAAGATAATAAAAAGTCTTCAGACTCTTGTAAGAATGTCATAACTGCTGTTAATTATTAAAGATGTGGTAAGTCCAGAGAATGCATTTATGGATGTGAGCAATGAAAAGATTTTCAGATATTTGAAGAATACCCTCCGGAGTGTATCTCGAAGAGGAAAGTCTCCTAGCCAGGATTTCCAGAGAGGAATCTTATTGGCCACAGCCACAGGTGAGACAAATCCAAATCAGTGCTACATCTGATTTTGCCTTAAGAAGCCAAATCCTGACTGATTTTAAAGCATCATTATGGTAGCTTTTTAGGAATAATCATGCATTTTAATTTGAAACTATTGGCGTTAGTTTGTTTCAGAAGTGTCTGTTAGTAGAAGCTGATATTTTATTTACCATAAAATATTAAATTCTTTGGTTTTTGTATTTAGTCAGATATATTCTAAACCTAGAAATAAGAGGTTTAATTGAAAAAGAACAGAGTCTACAAATTTAAATTTTAGAAAGACATTGAACTTTCTATTATTATGCCATTGTAGAATAATGGATGTGCTGTACAGATTTATTGTAATGTGCATATAGATACAGTATGTGCATAGCTACTGTACATCAAGCATTAGCATACTGTATAACAGCCATTATATATTATTTATATATATTGTAACGCTTACGGCCAACAGGCACTGTGTAAGAGCCGGCGTACCAGAGCAGGTGATGTCACCGCCCTTCCCTGTGATAGCAGGACTACAGCTACTGTAGAGAGATTCTCTCTGCAGGGACCGGGCTGGGTCCCTGCAGAGAGACGCGGGAGTCCTGGGTTCGAGCCCCCGACAGTGGGGGGCTGACCTAATGCGGCAAGGGTGCCTGCCTGAGCCCCCGTTGCGTTACAATATATAATAGTAGAGCAAATAAGAAAATGTCATGTCATTTACCAAACTGCTTTATACCATATGGAATAAGCAAATGATATGGTAAATGCATACTGTATGCCCAATATGCCCAATAAATTCATACTACTTTAATGTAAAGGTTTAGTTATTTCAACTGCTTAACATGCCACAGTTTATAGTTTAGTATTCAATATGGAGATCAAGCAAACATAAAGGCTTTAAAAAGTGTAAAACTGAAGAGGGCTGCATATTCAACTCAGTCTCTGATTAGTAAAGAATTTTGTCGCTCTTTATGTTGTTAGGGGTGGCAAAATGACAAAGTGGTTAGCACTGCTGCCTTGTAATCCTGGGTTCAATTCCTGTGGTGCTATCTGCATATTTGTATGGTGTCCTCTAGGTGTTCCAGTTTCTTCCCACAGTCTAAAGACATACAAATGAGCCCTGGAGTGAGTGTGTGTTTCCTGAGTTGAACTGTTATCCTACAAATGATGTATCCCTTTCTTGCACTTGCTGCTTGCTGGGATAGGGATCATTAATAAGGTCACTGCTTAAGAATCCTAGACTAAAGGTACCCCTATAGTTCCAGTCTCTCTAACCTTGAAAGCTAGTACCTGCCTTTTCTGGGGGTCTGATGCCGGGTATATTATATACTCCTAATTTGATTAAAACTAGAGAAGACAACAATAATCTCTAGCCTTACAAGTCACTTAGGTGTTTTAAGGTCTTTCAGTTGTGCTTGGCATTTATGTAAAACTTTGTAAAAGATTTATTTTTTTCTGTCCACATTTTGTTTCAGTAAAAGGGTTAAGGACATCACAGAGGACAGGGAGAAAAACTGTCTACTGACACAACCACAGCAATGAAGCTTTCCGCCAGCCAGTTCTTTGTGAACAGGCCACTGTATTCAGAGGATGCTTTCAAAACAGACAATGAAAAAGTGCAAAGACAACACAAGACTTTACTGGATCATGTAAAGGCTTACTTCAGGCAAGACCTGTTCTTAATTTTATGCATAAACATTGAGAACTTTTATGCAAATAGTAATGAGCCTAGATTACCACTTGCTAATTTCCAAATGTATTGAGTTATGCTTTATACAGTATGTATTATTTTCTAATTAAGCTAGAAAATGTTTCAAGATGATTGGGATTCTACTTTTTGAGCTGTATTGTGTATCCTATGCTATAAACAAAAATCTTGTTCAGCCTGTAAAAAGATAATTTAATTACTTTGTGTATCTTTGAAAGCAATAAAAACAATCTGATTCATTTTTTCTATGTTTAATGAATTGTAACTCAGATACTCTCAGAAACATGTACACATAACTGTCTTATTGTGCTTTTGTTTTCCAGCTGTTCTAAAAAAAGAGCCAAAAATGCAGCTTTGTCACTGTTGCCAATTATTGGTTGGGTCAGAATGTATCGTGTCAAAGAATGGCTTCTGAGTGATCTGGTTTCTGGACTCAGCACAGGGCTGGTGGCTGTTCTGCAAGGTAAATTATGTTTTTCATTGTGAATCTATCGTTTCCCTTTTTTAACACTATAAATCAGTTTTACTTTATTTGTCTATGCTTCATAAAGAACATATGAGAGGTTACAAGAGAGAAATCCGTTTGGCTTACCTAAATTGATAGCTTTGTGATCCTCAGATGCCCAGTCATTTCTTGAGACAAGCCAATATATTATCTTCAAGCAAATCAATGACAGGAATACTTTTGCAGGCAATGTCCACAATTCTCCAGGTCAAATTTCACTGATTACATCTAAACAAATGGGAGCAGGTTGCCAATGTGTATAAGGTGAAGCTGACAGCAAAATATACCAGGTTTATAATTTACTGGTGCAATCCAGTAAAGAAAATGCTGGACTTGCAAACTTATTTTATACTACATGCATGTTTCCTAAAGCCTTGTTTCTGTATTTAAAAATATGTACAGCATATTTAGATTGAAGATTTATTAAAAACAATACAGAAGGTAAATTATACAGGACAAAAATGTACAGTGTTTACTTACTGTACATATGATATACATTCTCATACCTAATTATCTTATTGGATATGTTGTTATCAAAAATAAGATCTTTAAAAATGAATTTGCAATGAGAAAATGAATAACATTTCTGCTACCTTTTATTTTCACAAATTTAATTAATTCAGTCACAAGTGGTTGTGAGTTGGAATATTCATAAAATCTAGCTCACAACAGTTTCAATGCTGCATCAAAAATCTTAAGGATTGGCAAATGAAAGGCTTCATTCTGCTGGCTATATGATCAATCTGAGTCAATTGATTCCTCTTGGTAATTAAAATAAAAATTACAAGTGGTATTTGAACTGTTAAGCTAACTGAATAGAAATTCAAAATGTAAGCAGAAGATGCCAGTATTTTTCTGTGGAAATTCAAATATATCCCCAGTTTCTTGGTTGAAGTTGGAGAAAGCGGAAACTGTGCAAGTCAACTCCTTTGCCTCTGATGGGGTCATCCATATACTGTAGATGAGAATCAAACATGAGTTAGAAAAGAAACCGAATAATACTTTCCATTTGTTTCTATTCTTATTTCTCTAATCAGGCAAAAAAGTCATTTCAGTTAATAGAGTATGTGACAATCTTAATGCACTTCTCCGAAACCTCTCTCTTATGGTACTGGGACACCTTCTCATGTGTCAGTTGAGAGCAAAGGATAACTTATATTTTAATAAATATTTGTTTTCAAATTTCTGTTTAGGTTTGGCATTTGCATTACTGGCTTATGTTCCCCCTGGTTATGGATTATACTCAGCATTTTTCCCTGTTTTAACTTACTTCTTTTTGGGCACATCAAGACATATCTCAGTAGGTGAGTTGTTTGTGAGCGTTTAATTTATAAATGTGTTTAATCAAATGTCATTATCGCCACAAAAATGTAATTTCATGTGGAAAATTTCAGTGAAAATTGTGCTTCACATCTATTTTAAGGCAATTTGTAAGGATCACAATGGAGCAGGCTAAAATTAATCATAGCAGAAATGATCTCAACAGAAGCACAATTAATGGTTTATTTAACTATACTAATGAAGCCAAAGACATCACTGTTGTAACAAGAAGGCATAAACAGCTAGGGTTTTTGTAATATATAGACGTTTATGTTTTTGCTTGTGTTCTTTCTCTAGCCTAACTGTTGTTTTGCTGCAATAGGTCCATTCCCAGTGTTGAGTATGATGGTGCAATCAGTGGTCACTAGATTAGTGCCAGATATCGGGTCTCCAGCCAACATAACAGCTTTTGAAGGCTTGTCACAGGATGAACAGCGTGTGATTGTTGCCTCTTCTGTGTCTTTCCTAGTGGGAATCTTTCAGGTAAAACCCAATGTGCTCCACACTTACACTATTTGCTATTTTTTATATATGTGAACTATGAAGTCTGATGTACATCAAATTTAAGGATAAGCTATAATGTTTCATTATTTGTGACCTACTTCAGTTGCTTGGGTTGCATTTTTTGAAGTGAGTTTGCAGAAAGAAAAAGCACAATATTCTTTTAACAATTTAAGATTCCTTACCTAATGCCAGAATGCAGAACAATGGTGGCCAATGAGATAAGAGCATAAGAACAAAGTTAAAACAGTAACAAAAAAGAACATTTAGCATTATTTAGTTTTCAGTAGCTGATTGAGCCAATAATCTTATTCATCCAATTTTAAAAGAGCTCACCAACCGTGGAGGTTAAATACAAATACAGCATTTTGCTGCAATAGGTTCATTTCCAGTGCTGAGTCTGAAGGTGCAATCAGTGGTCATTTTGTTAGTGCGTGTTGATTTGCTTTCAGCCAACAGCATTAACAATGTGGCTGGGGAGCTTGTTCAATGCTCCCAAAACGTTTTGTGTAAAGAAGTTCTCCTGTTCTTAGTTTTAATTACAATTCCATGTAGTTTCCATGGAATAGTGGTGCCTAGTTTGTATTTTGCTATTGAATTTGAATATGTGCAGAGGACTGACTTTATCAATGCTTTTGAGAAAGCAAGCATGTAAGCAAATCCCTGCACTTGTCTATATAAAATGCCACATGCCAGGTGCTGCTCTCTTTTTAGTTTGATCTGAATCTTTTGGAAGTTAATCTCTTGCTTCTACAGTGTTTGCTGTACGCTGTTTGGAATAATCAGTGTTTGTTCTAATAGTTTAGAATAATCTATAAATACACCTTTTTTTACTAATACCACAATACACTACAGCGGATCATTAAAATAAATTAGAGCAGTGCTCCTGATAAAGATTCCCCAAATACTGCAGTTTATCATCATTCCTTTATGAGTATTTACCTTATATGTACAATATGAATCCTGTCCAATAACCATTACTTAAACAAAGTACATGCATTACCTTGAATGGCTACTGCAAGCAATTTGAGAATTAATCTTCTATGATGAACTTTATCACAAACCATGTGAAACCTCAATATACCATATGATGTGATCTGTATGTATACCATTATTGTTGCTGCTTGTTCAGAGTTCACACTGATTGTTTCTCAAGAGCTACAGTACAAGGGTCTCTGGTTTTCTTCTGGTCTTGTGATCACAGGTTCTTAATTGAATTAATTATTGCAGCCTCTATATCCCTTCACAACCACACACCCCACTATGCCTCTAACAGCCTAGGACTTAAAGTACAAAACCTGCAAGAAGCATATGGGAAACTTTGAGGTATCTCATTTTCTCCTTGTGCCCCTCATCGTTTGTTCCTGAAACGTTCCTAGTGTGCCCCCTAACCCACCATCCCTACCCAGATGGCAACCAAAGTTGCATTTCTAGGCCTGAATCGGGGCACTCTTGGAGCTGATACAGGAGGGTTCATTAGTCAAAACATGAATGTTTCAGTTTCCCATGAGGAATTACACAATATTAAAAACACTATAAGCTCTCCAGAAAGCTCCTCTAATCTTGTTGAATTTGTATGGCGCAGGTGTTTAAGGGAAGCGCCGCACATGGCTAACAGACATCTCTTCTTTTCTTTTAGCTTGCACTAGGAGTGCTTCAAGTTGGCTTTATAGTGATTTACATGTCAGACACTCTTATTTCGGGCTTCACTACTGCCGCAGCCGTCCACATCCTGGTGTCTCAGCTGAAATTCATTCTTGGACTTCAGGTTCCTGGGAAAAGTGGGGCTTTTGCTCTTGTTTACGTGAGTAAAGCTGGAGAGCTGATGTTTATTGAAGGGGGCGATTTCACAGATGAAAACCAAATGATGGAGACTACCTTGTCTGTGCATGTTTAAAATTCTTCTTTTGCTGTTTATTCTTATTTTCTGGTCACAGTTGGGGTTTAATGTTCTTGAGAGAAAGAACATTAAATTACTGAACCACAATTGAAATGTATCATTTTGATCAATCTTTTGATCATTTATTTCTAACATATGGAGGAATTATAGTAGATACATTTATCATTTATAACTGCATTTGATCAAATCCCCGATGGTTATGTTAGAGAATATATTTTATTTGGTTATTCAGAATTTATGACACTCTAAGGGAGTTAGTTTTAGTATTTTGCTTAAATATAATGGATCCTTTTTATAATCTCTGCTTTTATTCTTTTGCAGACACTGAAGGACATTTTTTCTGTTATCGAAAAAACAAACATAGCAGATCTGGTTACAGCCATAATTATTATGGTTGCTGTCTTTGCTGTGAAAGAAGTCAATGACAGATTCAAAGAGAAGCTTCCTGTACCAATACCTATTGAAGTGATCATGGTGAGTGCCAGCAGCCTGTACTGTACTGTGAGCAAGCACAGCTAGATATTACTGTTCTTTTGGGTTTTCTGCCTTGTCTTACTGCTCCACCTGGGATCCTCCTTAATGACTGGAAAAAAACTGCAATGCCATGTAAAATGTGACCATACATTGTATATGCAAGGTATATCAAGAAAACAACATGATATGAACTGATATGACAATTTTAAGATGTTTTATTTGTATATGTCCTGATATCACAATACCCAAATATTTTCTGGTAACATTTTCTTTTAAATTGTCTTTACAGACGGTGCTTGCGTGTGGACTATCCTATGCATTTGACTTCAAAACCCTGTACAATGTAGACATTGTTGGCAACATAACAAAAGGGTAAGCCATTAATCAATGTTTGTTGCAGTAGTTTGGAATATGTGAAATGATGTGTTTTTAACACACACTCTCTGTGTTTTCAAGATATGAATCCCCTCTTGCACCAAATTTTGAAGTTATCCAGCACAGTGTAATGGATGCCTTTTCAATGGCAATTGTTGGATTTGCAGTTGCCTTCTCTGTTGCAAAAGTGTATTCCGTTAAACATGACTACATTATTGATGGCAACCAGGTAAGCTTTAACAGGCAGAAATACAGTGATCTGCAAAGGTATTCACCCACTTCCCTATTTAATAGCCACAAATGATGTAAAAACATTTTTATAATAAATATTTTAAAATCATAATTAACGTCAAATAAAAATCAATAGCAAAACAGATTGATTTCATATTTCATATTTTTGGCTGTCAATGCCAACTTTGCTGGGATGTTTTCTTATTTTTCTTGACTGTTTTTGTTTAAATTTAACTTCTTTCACCCATAAAAGTATTCAATTTGAACTATAAAGAGTTGTTTAAGAAACATTCACTTTGGAAAATGTCTATACAGTACATCAGTTGTAATTCAACAATATAGGACATGACTGGAAAGGAGTGAATATTTTTGCAGGTAAATGTAAAATAAGACTACATTCAGTGGAGCCTGAGAATATTTAGAGAGAATGTAATTAATATATAGAAACTTATACAATTTTATGTTAGGTCAAAAATCACCGGTACTGGATCAGATATTTCAATATATCATAGACAACTAATTCTAGTCCAGGAGGGCTTTTAACAATGTAAATAATTTCATTGATAGTTTAATTCCAGTTTAACAGCTTTGTTAGTTTAATTCCAGTTGAACAGCTTTTACTAGATCTCTATGTGCTGCTGCTTTAAAGAGAGCTTAAAAACCTGCAGACACAATAGTCCTCTAAAAATGGAATGATAGATTCTGAATATTTCAAGTTTTCCTGAAACAATATGAGCAACTCTGAAAGAAAATGTGAACAATTAAAAAAAAAAAAAGATTATTCTCAGTTTCTGAAGAGTATTCATATTATCACCTCGTTTCCTTAAATGTAACTGAGTGAATCATTGTAGGGTGTTGCGTTTGTCTATTTACTATTTTGTGAACCTCTTACACTCCCAGTAAATTTACAAGTGGCTTGAAATTCATAACCAGATAATCTGGATGAGTTCCTGAAGCACACTGCCATTACAGCCTATCCACTGAAAAAGATTACCTTGGTATTTTTCTTTACCACCAGAGAGATTTTTGATAATGTATATCATTAAACAGAATGCAATAAAACCCCATTGGAACAACCGTATCTGGAATATAATATCCTTCCTTTTAGTTATAAAACCAGAAATACAGCAAAGGTAAATCATTAAAAAAAGCTTATAAATCTTGGGTCTTTTTTAATTGTGCAATATACAGTAACAACCTTTAACAACCTTTCTAAAGTGTATTGTGTTTATGTTACTTTTCCCGTACGGTCTCATAGCTGGAAAATCACAAAATGTGGACTGCATAAAAAAGGTTTTGCAATATCTAAACTGCCCCTGTCTGTTTCTGCAGGAATTGATAGCTTTTGGTGTCAGTAACATTTTTACCTCGAGCTTCAGAGGATTTGCTTCAAGCACAGCTCTTTCAAGGAGCGCTGTGCAAGAGAGCACAGGTGGAAAAACTCAGGTACTTCATATCCACACAACACATTTTAAGACTAGTATGCAGGTCCAGCCTCAGTTTCCTTGTTCAATGTTTCATTTGAGAATTATTTAAAAAATGATTGGTAAATCACTGAACCAAAGACAGTGCTGGCTGAAATGGAAATGGAGGAAAGTAAGATTTACTAAAAGTACAAACAAAAAGACAGTCTTAAATATGCTATGCCTGTGCTTATCATTATCCAACAGAGAAAATGTTTATAACTTGTATTAAAATGTGACCTCAGCACGTTTATAGTGGTAGGCACATTTCCATTTACTAAATGTTTATTGCATTGGAAAAGGAAGATATTGCTGTGGCAACATTTTATAGACATATCTTTAGTCTGCTGTAAGAATTTACAGAAAGCTTTAAGACTTTTGCAAGAAATGAGTTACAAAAGAGAGAACCACTTTATGGCTCAGAATCTTCAGATTTTATATATAAAATGTATTGTAAAATATTAACAAATTTTATTTTGGCAGCTTGCTGGGTTGCTTTCAGCTTTAGTGGTAATGATTGTCACAGTAGCCATTGGATTCCTCCTGGAACCACTTCAAAAGGTAACATTACATTATTACAAACTTATTTTACTATTTTAGAACCTTTAAAATATTGGAGTTATAATTCTAAAGGATCTTTACTTTTTTACTGTAAGTCATAAAAACATTATATTATCATATTAAAAATAATCTGCAGTCATATTTAAATTCAACTCTCATAACTCTAAATCTCTTACAGTCTGTGCTGGGAGCATTGGTGGTGGTCAACCTTAAAGGGATGTTGATGCAAGTAACAGAGATTCCATATCTGTGGAAAAAGGACAGACCTGATTGTGTAAGTACTGACGCTCCATGTCTCTTACAATACAACAGACAATGTTACAGGAGCTTAGAACTATTCAGCTAGAACATTCAAACTACTGACACTGAATGTATCCATCCATCTTCTAACTGTATTCTATTCAAAATTCCATATGCAACCTATATCTATCCATCCATCCATTTTCTAACCACTTATTCCAATTCAGGGTCTCTGGGGAACCAGAGCCTTTCCCGGCAAGCAACAGGCGCAAGGCGGGATACACCTCGGACAGGACACCAGTTCTTCACAAGGCCGACACACAGACACTACATACACTCACACCAGGGGCCAATTTTCCCAGAAGCCAATTAACTTATCGGTTTATCTTTGGACTGGGAGATAAGCAGAGCACCTTGAGGAAACCCACATGAACATGGGGAGAAACTCCACACAGAGAGCAACAAGACCAGGACCAGACTTGAACCAGGCACCCCAGAGCAATGCTAACCACTGCACCACTGTGTCACCCCACTAATCTTATGACTATTTTAAAAACAGTGTTCGGATACAGTTTGTAATGTTGTCAAGGAAAGATGGTACATCTTCACCACATGCTTTCTCTACTGAATGTTTACAAGTGTTTTATTTTTCCGAGAATGTTCAATTTTGAATAGTGCCTTGTGTATGTATGGAATTGCAGGTCTCGTTTCACTAGTTATAACCTTTGACCGATCAGAAGACCAGTGTGCCCTAGTCCTGAAATTGAGAAAATCTATTTAGCAAATGTTTCTATGTAGATCCTGGCTACACACCTGAGTTCTGCCCTGTCCATTCCTTTTTCCTGGTGTTTTATTATGTATTTAAACAAATATAAACATTTATCAATTATCTAAAAGTTTTGTTTTGCAGACCTAAAACTTAGACTTAAAAATAACTCTTCTTTCAAATCCCTATCCTGTTTTTTAATGTTTTTTTCCCTACACATCTTTATTAGTCTCTTCTGAACCCTTTAAAGTCAGGTGTATGTTTCAGGCACCAGACACAGTATGACCACTTTATTCAAGAAGGCTGACCTACATACAGTACTGTATTTGCCCAAGAGTTACAGAAATTTTTGGCAAACTGAACACAACTGAACAATTAGCTAGAACAACTTAACTATCGTTAACTATAATGTTTCTATGAAATATGGTTTAACAATCAATTCTTGCTACACAAAGAACATGCAATACCTCTACTTCAAATGTACAGTATGTATATGTGTGCAAGTCAATGGAGGAAATCACCCAGAGTTGTCTTCTTCACAGGTTGTCTGGGTCGTGACTTTCCTTGCTGCTGTTTTTCTTGGTCTTGACCTTGGACTGGCCGTTGGTCTAGGGATTGAACTTCTCACTGTCATCTTTAGAACACAGTTGTAAGTATGAGCTCACACGCATGAGATGCTCTTTACTGTATATACTGAGAAACCTTTTGTTTCCACAGATGTATTTGATAATTGGGAAAGAAGAAGATGAAATGGTGTGACGAATGAACTTGTGTGAGAGCAGATAACAATGTCTGTCTTACCTGAATATCTTACAGCCCACGATGTACTGTTCTGGCCAACATCAAGGGAACTGATATCTACAGAGACCGCAAAGATTATATGAGTGTAAGTTCCAGTGGCCCCCGACATTTGCTTCTGTATGAACCTTAAACCTTTACTCTATACCTTTGTGTTAAGTAATTAAATAAGTGCTTTCCTTTACTGTCTTTCAGATCTATGAACCAGAGGGCATTAAAATCTTCAGAATCCCTTCACCAATTTTCTTTGCAAATGTAGATTTCTTTAGGGAGAAGCTGAATAGTGCAGTAAGTTATTTTGGTTTACATCTACTGTGCATCAAATAGAAACACTGGCTCTTTGTTCTTGACTGGAACAGATTGTACCGCTATTAGAACACCTACCTGCCATAAACACTTTAACATTGATTCCAGTCTTTGGGCTGGACGTGAAGTTCCCAGTCTGAGGAATCATAACAGCAAGCCATAGAACTGGAGTTTGCACAAACGGAATTTTAAAAATCTGACAATATTAAGGGGTGGACGAAAACACTACATCACTAAAGCAGATATATCATATTCCACATAATCCTCGCATAACACACTGCTTCTTGTGTCACTTCAGGTTGGATTTAACCCACTCCGTGTGTTACGCAAGAGGAACAAGGCTCTGAGGAAAATAAAGAAGCTTTTAAGTAAGGGAGAGCTGCAGATAACATCGGTGAGACCTAATCGCACTTCTTATGATCTAAAAACCTTGAACTCCATTAATGTGTCTGTAAAGCAATAAGCCAGAAATACATCTTATCTACTCCTAGTAATAAGAACACAATGGTGTCATATTGCTATAACAGATTTATAACAACGCTAAGACATAGCAATTAAATTTCAAAGTATATCAGTTAAAGAACAGATAAAGGTGCCATAAACCCCCTACTTTTTCATCTAAATATATCTATGGATTATTTACTACAGTTGATAAGGTATCTGGAATTCTCCTCTGCATTTTTACCAGCTAACAGAAGTTTTCAGAGAAAGAAACGCCAACATATAATTAATGTGGGCAGTATGGTAACATAGTGGCTATTCCCACTGCCTTACAGCTCTTGTGGTCCGTATGGAGTTTCAGATATTCTTCCTGTGTTTTTGTGTGGGCTTTGGCATCCTCCCACCTTCTAGAGACAGACTAACATTAAATGATCCCTTTGTTTGCTCTGTGATACACTGGTACCCTGTCCAGCATGTAGCCCTGCCTTGTGTCCTGTGGTTGCTTGAAAAGATTTGAGCTGCCGTGATCCTTTCCAGCAATGAGTAGCATTGAGATGATGGAGGAATACAATTAATGCATTTCTCAATTAGAAAAAAGATCTGTCTGAGGATAGAACGTATTACCAAACCTAAATGCAAAAGCAAAAACTATGATCGAGCAACAAGTCTACACTACTCAGTCAAGATAAACAGAATCTCTCAAGCCTGGTACATAATCCTGATTCAAATCAGAAGATATTTAGAATGCATATTGTTATTCATTTAGTTTTTATTTTGAACCTGCAAACATCTAAACAAATTGCATTATTTTATGTGAAGATAATACATCAAAGAATGCTCAGATCATCTGAAGGATAAAATAAGAGCTCAAGGAATAGGGTTGCAAAAAAGGGTTGCAAAATATTGATCATATTATATAAAGCTGATCTGCATAAACAGAATGTCAAACAAAATGACGTGTGTCAGCTCTACAGATTTGCTTCTGTGTTCCTGCCCATTTAGAAAGGTTTACTGTACACTGGCTCGGGACCAATTGAAGAGTCCGAAGATGAAAGCAATATGGAGGAGCTGGACAAGCCCAATGACTTTGAAGGCCTGCCTGTTCAGATCAACTGGAATGCTGATCTTCCAGCCAATATCGTTGTCCCAAAAGTCGACGTGCACAGCCTCATACTTGACTTTGGAGCTGTATCATTTCTTGACATTTCCGGATTGAAAGGTGTAAAAACGGTAAGACATGCTTAACTTTCGTCTTCCAACTAACTTATATTTACTGCTAAAAAAATAATTACGTAGCCACTGTAGTGTAGAAAAAAGTATGAACATAAGAAAGGCTACAGCTGAGAGGAGGCCATTCGGCCATCTAGTCTGTTTACCAGTTAGAAGCTAAATGACCTGAGGATCCCATCCATCTGTCCTGTGAGAAGCCAGGCTTTCGACTTCAGCAACATGGGTGCGCAGATTGTTTCATATTCCTAAAAGCTGTAATGTCAAGAAGCGTCTCCTGCTCTAAAAATTAAACGCAAGCTCTTGATCGTTTGGCACCTAGAGTCATAGTGAATATCGGTTAGGAGAAAATTATATGGTGGAGAATGGATTTAAAGAATAAAAAAAATATTTTTCCACAAATTAGTTCAGATCCAGGGAAGATCATATTGGAATACGATAAAATTGAACATTGTTCTGGAGAGCAAGCTTCAACTTCACATTAACTAAATTGTTGATTAACATAAAAAAATGTCTTATTCATTGTAAGTGAAACTGTTTGTAATTTACAGACACTAAAAGAATTCATCCGAGTGGATATAGATGTCTACATTGTTGCATGCGACAGTAAGTTCTTTTTTATCTTCATATTCATAGATAAGCAATAAAGTTGAAATACGAAAGTGTTTTTATAAACAAAATCAAAATACCAAGGTGATTTGTTGTGGATGACTTCTGTTCCTTTCGTAATCCTCCCAGATAATATGAAAATAGCACTGTTTATCTGCTAAGAAAGACACGGCAATCCTTAAAACACTGATAATCATTCCTTAAATGTTTATATTAGGTGATGTTTATGAATGTTTATTCATCCTTTAGAAACACAATACCATAGGTGAAAGTTCATATAAAACAACATGCAAATAAAAGTCTTTGTTATCTAGTCTTTCTGAGTAGCTTAGTTATTTAGCATTGACATAGTTTTATATTAATACAGAACTGTTTTGAGTGCTGATCACGCACTGATCTTTGAATTTCAGGTAATATTTTGGACAAACTACACGAATGTCAATTTTTTGACCATGAAATAAAGACCTCCATCTTTTTCCTGACCATTCATGATGCCATGCTACACATCCTGGAGAAACATCCCAACACAGGTTACGAAATAAAACCAGGCATGGTACGTTTAACCATACAGCTACTTCGCAAAGCCTGTAAGAGTTCACAAAATTCGGCATACTTGACACAGTTAAAACTGAAATTCCATTTTATTGTCTTCCAGATCAATTCTCTAAACACCTATGAAAAAAACAGAGAAAATGGCCTGAGAAATCGAGAAAATATAGTAAGTCACTCAACAGTTTGCTTTTTTCAATAGGTGGGGGAAGGATTCCAATGCCTGATGCAAGTTTTTGATTATGTTCGCAGGTTTCAAACCCCGAGACGAAATTGTAGAGGGCACGATCTTCTCCCTTGAAAATGATCCTCGAATTAGAAAAAGACAAGGCATGCAGCTACTATTTGGGTGTTAGTTGATTTCATTGTAACCAGAACATTCATGCTACTTCATATCTAATTTTGAAAATGAGAAGCCCAGGGAAATGTGAGCTTTGGTTATTTTCTTATTTCAGTCTTAAAAGCTGGCTGTCAATGCTTTGCATTAGGGGAAATTTACATTTTTGCAAAACATTTTATAGCATGTCACACGAGTGCTAGACGTTTTGAGTGGCACTACCATTACAATTTACTGTTTGTAAATAGCTGGAATAGTAAAAAGACAGATGTATAACTTCAGTTACATTGGGACATAGATTCGCAATTGTTTTGGACTGCGAATAAAAAAAGGCCCTGCCTTGCCCCCGGTGCTGGCTGGGATAGGCTCCGGCTCCTTGGTCACTCTGAACTGGAAGAAGCGGTTGGAAGCGGTTGGATGGACGAAAACACAATGTTTCTGAGCAAGACCGTCTATCAAGACTTGTAAAGATCCAGAGTGCCATTTCCTATCCACAACAAGCCACCCTTCTTTAATGTTGTATAGAATTAAAATATTTCTTCTTTAATAAAATGGTGCCTGAAAACATTATGTACATAGAAAAGATGTTAAAATAATCTTTATAACCTGTAATAAATGTAATTCTTTTTATTACTTTTTGCAAATTTCACTTTCACAAAATATTTGTACTATTATATTTACTGTAAAAATAATAACCCATAAATTCCTTTTACCCAGCCATCAAAGAAAAAGATGATGTGTTTGTATATTGCATGTGTGCACTTTAGACATGAGGTTGAAGGAAACTAATGACTGGGATTTAGCCCGACAATGCAGATTGCAGAAGAACCCAACTGCTTTTTGGCAAAGAGTGCTTCACAATAAGTAGAACACTGCATTCATCTGCAAATATTTTTAATTGCTTTACTCGGGTAGATTTTACAAGGAATGTCACCCCATATTACGTGTTAAGGAGTGTTTATTGAGGAGTTGGAGTTAAGAAACTTTGGCTCATCATGTTTGGCTGACAGACAAGCACCTGGCAGTAAGACGAGTACGTGAGGTCCCCCTACAGGAACAGAAATTAGCCAAAGGGTAGTTGCAAAGCTGGAGGTGGGATGAGAGCAAGAGAGGCAGTGCTATACTGTGCTATTCATTATTTTATTAGGCAGAGATGTCACGGAGTATTACAATTAGAAGTGATGAGGAAGACATTATCAGTCGCAGTCATCCCTCTTGAACATACCTCTATTAAATACTCCAATAAACCGTTCTGTCTTCCTCATTTAATTAAGAAATCTTAAAGCAATTTCCCCCATAGTTATCAGTGTGAATGCAGTGCTTCACATACGTGAAGGTTTATTACTTAACCTTTTTTCATGAAAACATTTCATAATATTTCAAGCACAAATATTTGACCCGTGTAACCATTTATGGCTCTGTTCACACATGAATGATACGCAACGAAATAAAAATGTTAAATCAAATAACATCTATCTAAGGTAGGGCAGTATTTACTTTGTACATAGAAGTATATATTAGACAACTCATGAATACTTCCTGTCACTACTGAAAAATGCTCTTAAGAAAAAAGCATAAAGACTTTGGATATTGAATGTTTTTGGGATCATTTGGATTGATCATTCAAGACAGATACAGCTCGGTGTCTTTGCTACTTAACACACTAAATCACGTCACCAGTGAGACAGCTGACTGGGTACAAGTGAAGAGGCAATGTGAACGGAGGATTGAGTGAAAAGTCAACGACACAGAAACAAAAACGGTGTCAAAGTAATTCAACACAGAACATATTTAGCAACATTTAGCTTTTAATGTTTCTAGTTGGCCTTGCGCAGCAGAACTGCTTATGTTGGCGTCCCACATCTGCAAAAGCATTACACTCTCGCTGCCCTTGTTCAAAGTGAACTCCTCGTTAAAGTCTTGCCAACACTGCCAGAACTCTGACTTTCCCACAAGAACATAAAAATCACAAAACTTTTAATAAGGATTTCTTTCACTTTGGGGGGAAAAAAATGTCTGCTAATAACAATCACTCTATAGCTTTTCCATTAGCCGTTTAAAAATGTCTAATATGACAAAGAAATGGTGCAGCTAGGAGTTATAAATGCCTAAAAAACAAAAATATATTTATTTTTGGTCAGAATAAATTCAAACACTTTTTCTTGACAAATCACAGCACTGTTGTCATCTAAAAACCTACTGCACCGCTCTGCTTTTTAACTCTGCAAATTAGCAAGCTGTTACCATTTATGTCACTGCAAAGAATCCATTGTACACCATATTTTATTCATTCCTTAATTAATATTTTCCCCAACTTCCCATAATGCACGCAAGTTCAAGGATTTGGCATTTGATCTTCCAAGTTTTTAAAACAGAACTTGGCAGTGCTTGTATTTCTTTAGTACTGCACTTGCTCTGTATGTTACCTGAAGAGATTCATATTTACACAAGGGAGCTAAAAACCAAGAAGAGTCCATTGGGCCAGTCCAGCTTGCTGGAGTTACTGATTGAAGAACTTCAAGTGGTCATTTGGATTACTGCATTCAATCAAAATCAATCAGGTCTGTTCCACACATGTACATTTCTGCATACAGCACTGCCTCTTACACCACATCTTGAAACTACTTAATTTCCATAAACTGCCTCCGGGCCAGATTCTAGATGAACCTCTTTAATATAATCAATAAGATTACAAATTCATTCGCATCCGGTGTAATTTACAAGGCATTTACAAAGTTAGCTGGCTTATTCAAACAACTGTATAATGACAACTGTGCACCAAGGAGCAGTGAAATCAGGTACACACACACACATGGAATCATGGCGAACTGTGACACACACAGTACACACCAGAGTGCACTCTTGTTAGCATGTGTGCTAGCAATTGTATGCCACAAGAATACACTACATGCCATCTAATGCAGTGCATTTAGCCTGGTGATGCTAGTGCCCTCTAGTGCATACTGCTGTTCTCCACGATACCATTTGTATTACAATGGGAAATTAAAAAGGTAATGCAATTATTTGGGTTAAAACTGTTAAATAACAAACAACAGCAAAAATAACTAAGAATAATTACCACTCTAATTAAAATGTACCATCTAGCCTGCCATCAAACAAAACCTGTCCCCAACACACCCATCATAGGTAATGAAATTTAAAATGCGTTTTCAGATTCATTTCCATTTACAATTACTCTAGATCTTATTTGAGTGATCCAAAACGTCTTTTGGCTAATGTCATCACATGTCATAATGAAAATGTGAAACGACGCCCTTGTTACAAAAGTTACATGAATCGAAAACTCAGTGCGCAATGAACTTAAACTGATGCTTGGTAACAGTCCCAGATGTACTTAAATCCCAAAAACATGTAATAGAATCAAATAACATCAAATGTTACAAAATCTTTTCATTTGTACACATATATACAGTTTATCTAGGAGTAATATCAATGTTGAACCCTAGCTAAACTTCTGTACTGGGAAGTCTTTACTAAAACAATGTTTTAATTTGATCTTTTTCCATTAGGGTTACACATAAGTGTTTATTATGCCCATGATTTCTTACAGATGATGAAATTAAAAGGCAAACCCCTAAAAAAAACAATCCTTAAAAAAAAATTCTTGAACGCTGTTCAATGAACTCGGCATTATCGGGGAGGGGGGGGGCGGGGACGATACAGCCACACATACAGTTATCCTAGGAACTCATCGCCCGGGTCCTACTGGTAGTATGGCCGATATCGCGACTGATCTGGGTGGAGGGGTCCAGGTATTTGACCCTGAGGTGGGGGGCCCTGCATCCTGGGTGGAGGAGGTCCCCTGGGTGCTGGCCACATACCTGGACTCATCCCCCCCGGCTGGGTGAAAGGAGGGCTAAGAGTTCCTTGGTCTTCGGAGAACTGCTGCAGGGAGCCGGGGTTGTAATGGTGGGGCGGGGGCCCACTGACAGGAGGGCCACCGTGCTGAGGGGGGGGAGGAGGACCCGGAGGAGGGTGGTTCATGTAGGGGGGCATCTGGTTAATGATGTGTCCTGGGGGAGGGGTGATGGGCGGAGGGGCAGACGACATGGGGGGAGGCGGCGCTTGGTTGTAGACCATGTGCGGAGTCCCCGAGGCCTGGGGTGGGTGCTGCATGGGGTGGCTGATGGGCGGAGGGGGAGGGGGCGGCGGCCCGTAGTGCTGCTGCGGCGCCATCATGTGGTGAGGGTGAGAGACTACGGGCTGGGCGCTATACTCGTTGGGGTGGTGGTGCGGGGGGGGCGCGGGGCCCGGAGGGGGGGGCTCGCGGTTGGGGCCGCCCCCCGAGGTGGCCGCGTCATCCTGGATGGGCACGGTGATCAGGTTGCTGTGCTTGCGGGTGGTGACGGTGGAGATGCGGAAGGTCTCCTGGGCCACGGAGCGGGGGGGGCCCAGCGCGGCCAAGTCCGAGGAGGAGGGAGGGGGCGGGGCCGCCCGCAGGTCCTCGTGAGGCTGGCTGTAGTGCTCATGGCTCACGTGCTGCAGGGGCGGCGGCGGGATCAGGACGTGGGGCTTGGGGAGGTGCGGGAGGTGGTGCTTGTCCGGCGGCAGCAGGAAGCGCTCGGGCAGCTCCGAGGGGGGAGGCCCGGCCAGGGGCGGCAGGTGAAGGCTGTCTCCTTGAGGCCGGCCCGCCACCGGTTTGCCCGCCCTCATGTGGCGGTGGTTGATGTGGGCCTGCAGGTCCCTCTGAGACAGGTACGTCCGCTTGCAGCCCTGCACTATGCTGCACATGAAGAGAGAGCCCCTCAGACACTGCTCGATGCGCTGGACGGGGTCATTGCAGCTGTGAAGAAAGAATCTCAGCTCAGCTTCAGGCTCAGCGTGGGAAATGAGCTCACTCTCATCACACAGGTACATGTAAAGCTACCTCAATGAGTAAAGAATGGGGGTGCTGCATTCAATGCATGCCAAAGCACGCACTTAAAAGGGAAACTATACTCTAGAACAGCATAAACCTACTCAAAAACTACAGCGAGTCTGTTACTTTCTCCACTGTATTCAATAAGCAATTGCAAACTTTTATTTAAAAATGAAAACGGAATATTTTGACATTCAAATTCTCATATAAGAGGAACATAAAAAAGCATCAGGAGTTATTATATCCTATGGCAACACTGCCTACCCGGTTGATTATAATATCCCCAAGCACCATCCTTACCTTTTCCATTCAAAACACTACAGTTTTTTTTAAGTGACGTTAAAACATTTTTACCTATCATTAGCTTTATATATTTAAAAAGGCAACAAAAATATGGCACAAAAGCCACTGAATACAACAATTTCTGAATAGCACGAAGCAAATGAAGAGATTCAGATTATCATGCTAATACAGAATTTTAATAAGAAAAATACAGTGATCCACACTTCTAATTTCAACAGGTAGGAAATCTGAACTATGCAAGTAAAAAACAATTTAAAAGAAATTAACTACTGCCATCACATACTGGTGATGACAGGCAGACAGCACATTTCATTTCCTGGGTCTGCACTGAAAAAACTGCAATATTAACTACTCTGAGAAAATACATGAGAACACTGCGCAACATAGCCTCTGCAGAAATCGTACTACCCATCACAATACAATGTTTGCTCCTTAATTTTTTTTTCAATTTTAGCATCTATTTGTTACTTTGTAAGTGGATAGAGTGGATAAAAAAACAGATGACGGTTGCTTCTTTCCACATGAGGTACTGTTTAGCTCCCACTGATAATGATTTAAGATAAGATAAGATGAGAGAGAGAGAGATAAGATCAGATCACTTTATTGGCCATATACAATTTCATGTATTAGGAATTTGTCTTTTCGCATACCCTGACTTACTCTGCATGACACACACAGAGAAGCTTGGGTCAGAGCGCAAGGTCAGCCATTTACACGGCACCCCTGGAGCAGCTGGGGTTAAGGGCCTTGCTCAGGGGCCCAACAGAGTAGGATTCCTCTGCCAGCCGCAGGATATGAACCGGCCACCTTCCAGTCCCAGGCGCAGATCCTTAGCCACAGAGCCAAGGCACTGCCCCAAACTTTAAACTGAACTACACAGCACACCACTTGGGATTGAACCCGGTCCGACAGCGTCATTCCACAGGGAACCAGCTGGCTGAGCTAAAGTAGACCTCAACCTCAATTGATTTAATTTCAAGATTAGCACGTTTTCAAGAAGATGAAGTTTACACATTCAGATCATTGAGCTGTTTTGTTGCTGGTAGCTAAGTGATCAGAGGCTCTCATTCCATCTGTCACATAAAAAAAGCCAGGTTATCTACTTCGATGACATGGCTGCGTAATTTGTTTCACATTCCCACAATCCTTTGTGTAAGAAAGCAAAGCCCATTCTTAATTCTATATGCACTTCCCCATATTTCAGTAACTTCTGAAATATGAATTCCAGAAGCATGGGTTCAGTCCACTTCCAATTCAAAATAATGAAATTTAATAATCTAAACCATTAAAAGGTGTTTGCAAAGATTTGCAAAGTTTTGAATGCTTTTATTCAAATGTAGCTAGTATTAGACAATGTTATGTATACATCTACTAAAATTATCTTCGACACACTCGACAGGGAATTTAAAACATCTGCATAGAAAAAAAAAAGAAACTTACCCAGGGCACATTTTGTCACATTTCTTCTCATGAATAACCGCACATTCATAACAGAAAACATGCTTACAGGGAATCTGTAAAAAAAAAGGGGGGGGCTGGGCTTTCAGTTGCAAAGAAAAACCAGTATGAAAACTCTTTTAATCAAGAGTATAAATGTAAGCAACTGGACACACAATAAAGACTCTAGAAAACTATAGGATTTTTTCAGTTAAATTTAAAAATATTCAAAGTAGGGAACGTCTTGACACATACTGTAGAATTGAACTGGAATTTAAAAAAAACGTCAAAAATATTCAAAGTAGTGAACGTCTAGATACACAGGATTGAACTGGAATTCAATTTACCCTTACCATTCGACCATATATCTTTATGGGCAGTCCACATTTGTCACAGAAATGAACAGGTGTGTCATCTTTTTCTCCAATCAAATTAACCTGGGGAAAGAACCTTTATTAAATTATGGATTTAGGGACAATAGAGACTTAGTAGTTTTCTTTGACTCCAAGTACTGTAAAGACTACTTCAAACGCAGTCATATTTAGACAACTGTCCAATTAATAGCCAATATCATACACTATTTATATATTTACTGTATATCATATACTGTACCTTGAAGTCCCAAAACAATTGTTGAGGAAATCTTCTCTGACTTCCAAAAATGTCTCCAGATTTGCATTCATACCTTTCTTCTTCACTGTATCCAAAGCTTTCTGAAATGACATTAAAAATATGGGAGATTTGATGACCTGACATCTCCTTTAAAAAAACTCACACCACAAACAAAGCTGTACCTATTTTTATGAACGTAATTCGATCCCCAAACCCCTTTTGTATAGAGGAAAACTTATAAAAAGAAAAACCTATTTTCATTATTTCTAACCAGGAAAAATTATGATTTATTCTGGACCCCAAAAATGTCACACCTACTTTTACTTTTTCACCAAAAAATGACAAAAGAAACAATAATAACCAACAATCATACTGTGTTTTTAATAATAAAAACACTGGTTCCCTAGTTAGACATCATTAATCATATCTAAGTACAGTACTGTACAGTACCCACTTAATTTGCTTTTGTGTAATAAATGTTCTCAACATCTTAATGTAATATATGTTCTCAACATCTTAATGGTCCATGATAAAGCATAAATCACAGATTTTCCTACACGAAATGTAAGAGCACTCACGATAGAGAACAACGCCTGAAGCAAGATGCCGTGAACTGTATCACGTCTCTCATGCCACTCTGTAGGCTCTGTACAGGCTCTCACCCATTCTAGCTAGCGGAAGGCAATGCATATACTTGATATGAAATGAGTCGCATGACGCCTTCCTCTCTACTTTTTGCAGGGTTTTTTAAATTTTTCTTCCTATGGCTTTTTGTAGTTTTAAAATCAGCTTTCATTATTCGAAATGAACGTACTAATTTCTCATGCTTCACAGTAGCGAATTTTCATAAAAAGAGGTACATGTGCACTATATTTTAAAAGTATGACATTTTAAAAACACCATATATGAGAGACTGAAATCTGAAACTGACAAACTTCATATTAGTATTATTTCTTTATGCTTCACCTTTTTTATTGGGGAGAAATGAAACTTTCTAATTATGTGGGTTAAACTTTAAAAATAACTTTGTTACTGGTCTGTTGTCAATTTAACCAATAATTATGATGTCTAAACTTCAACTTACAGATGTTGCTGTTTACTGAATATTCATGCATTCTAGCTAACCACATAAACTGAAAAAATAACTCAGATGAGGCTAGCTAAACTTCAGACGTTGCAGACATTACTGACAGTGTGAAACACTAACAACAACAGAACTGGCATCTCTTCCATGTAAACAATGTCCGTCTACAAAATACTGTGCGAGTGGTTTTATTGGAACATCACAATAAAATGATTTTTAATACACGACACATTTATGACGAAACAGAAAACCTAACATAATACTTGACAGCATCCACAAAAAGGGAGCAGAATGCAAGACCGAGCCTTCGAATTCACAAAAACAAAAGAGCAGTCTTACCATCATCGCCAGCCTGCGTTTTGGAAGGTATTCTGTTCATGGCCCTTTGGGCCCTAACTGCTGGCTTGTTTCTGATGGTTTGTTTGGAGAGAAGCTTTATGGGAATCCGCCTGCGCACGTCAGGCCCCCCCAGGCTACCTGGCCCATCCGTGCCCTGTAAGTCATTGTCTGAAAGCAAAAAGAATCCAGCAAGTTTACCGTTTTGACTTCTATACTCGTCCATAGAGGCAATGATAGCAAAGGCAATATGGTTTCTTTTTATTTCTGCAATGGAAGTCACTGCGATCCAGCATCATGGGTCTGAATTCAGGAGGGGGCACCCTGTGTGTGGAGACTGCACTTTCTCCCTGTGGGCACACTAGCCTTCTCTGGGAACTCTGTGCTGTCAATAAATCTGTGGCATATATAAATTCCGGCCCTTAAGCATCCGATGATTGCGTGTATTTGTAGCCCTGTGATGGGCTGGCTTCCCATCCACAAGGCTCTGGCCTGCCACGGGCTTTACTGTTACTGAAAGGGAAAGACGAAGTGACACAACGTTATTAAAAGAGTGTACGTGGTAAGAGAATTTAACAATGTCCTTCAAAATAAAAAGGGTGTTCTCAGCTATGCTCACAAAACGTAATGAGTAGGCATACACAGCTGAACTCCACGTTTGAATGATGCTGAAAACTTGGTACCCTAATCTGAGGAATCTCTTTCAATTCCACATCGGCTACACCACATCACTTTCAATAATCGCTTATCCAATACAGGATCATCGTGGCCGAAAGACTATCTTGGGATGCATTGGTTGCAAGGCAGGATACACGCTGGACAGGACGGAGATCCATACAGACACGAGCACGCACGCACATACCCACCAAGGACAATTCACAAAAGCCAATCAACCCACCAACACGTCTTTCGAGGAAACACCAAAACAAGATAATACAAACTCGACACGGGTAGCGCCCAGGGCTCAAGCGCTGAAGATGCTACAATGTGCCACCAGTATCAGCTGAATGTACTTTAAAATGTCAAAAATAGTTCCTAGAACAAGCACACTATACAAATACTAATGAATTATTTAAAAGACTGTAATCATATGTAACTGTACTTCACGTCTTATACTGTGAAATTAAGCTTATGTCATACATCACCTGATAAAAAGTTTCGTCTTTCAGAAAAGATTATGTTCTTCAAAACAAGGGAAAATTATTACTAAAACGGGAAATCCGGTCATCAAATACCAGAGAATTCTAAGTTCACCCGAAGATTGTTATGAACTATTTCTTAAAGCCAAATTAACGGCAAAAAGAACAGGTGAAATTTTCACATGAGTGCAGTCTTTCATCGACACTCCGATTCCCAAATCCTTGCAAAACAAACGGGACTAAGAACGATGAACTTCTTGACGATGTGGAAAACAACACAAACCTAAGACTGACTTACGGATCTTTATATCCTTTTCAGCAAAGTCCGAAATCAAACATTTGTATAATCTTTTCTGAAACGTACTCGTTTTAAGTCTGTGGGGAAAACGGGAAAAAAAACTACCGAAGACAACAGGTGACAACCGGGGCAGAACTCCGCTACCTGTTCTGCAAAACTTGTAACCCCTTTCATCCAGTGTAAATGAACCACTGTTTCAGGTTCACGAACACCGTGTGAAAGTCTCTATTTTTTAACAGATCATGAAGGGGGGATACAACAAATCACACCGTAGCGCACACTTCTTCAGCAAAACAGCCCCTTCCTCTCTTATTCAATGGATGCTGCGAGAAAACTGCAGAAGGCCGCAAGGCTCCGCATTGAGGCTTCTCCAACTTCACAGTCAGGCAACTGGCTCAGAAACGTACCCTGGTCCTGCGTAAACCCAGTGAATGTCTGTGCATCCAATTTGATTTAAGAGAGGACAGAATACGGCTAAATTGCACACAGAAAGGAATTCCCTCCTTACCATTCTGGTCCATGATTCGGAGCGCTGCACGGTGGGAGCGGAAGTGAGGGGATTCTGGGGCGGGGCTTTCAACGGAAGAGCGCGCAAGGCGTCATGCGTCTTACAAACTAAGTCGGTCCGACGTTGGGAGGTGGTGTCTGTTAAACCTTTAAGAAAAACGTACTCAACGTTGTAATAATTGCAGAGAAAATCATCTGGATTGCTGTTAGTCTATGTATCAACTGTGGTTGTTAACGTTGAAAATAGGGGGGGGGGGTAAGATTTATGAACGTAGCAAAATGTCGTCTTCATTATCATAGAGTGGAGTAGCTAATCCGAAGGCAAAAGGAAATGGGTAGATGGGCGTGATGTGGAATCTATACAAGTACAATAACGTGGTTAAAGCTATTCTATAATGGGATATCTATACGCGAACAGGAACTGGAAATGTGCGAGTTGCTATCCCCACGACCTGCTAAGAAACCCTATCGGCCGTCTTGGTAATTACTCTCCCACTTTGAGTGGAGGTGGAAAGCAGAGTTGTGACAAGTTCATCACAAATATTGTAATCGTAGTTTATAATACCTTCCAAAAGGTATGGTTCTGAAAGTAATCCAACACAAAACGCAGTTTGAACAGTTGAACAGTTTGTACAACGATATGCTTCCAACATATAATACCCCGTCAGTTGTTTTAATATTTCCCTTAAAACGAAATTAATAAGATATACATCCGTATATACAGTAAATACGACGCATCAATAAAAAGTAATCTTGAAGATTAAAAAAAGCATTACGGTAGCCCACAACCGACATACTGTACACCCGATTAAGCGTTGTTTTTCTGATTTGAAAAACTGCATCCGAATTGTGTTGATACGTAATTGTATTCCATTAATTTTGAACAAACGATTTGATTCTCACACTATTAATTCATACACATAAATTGTTCAACAAAGTTATCTGCATCTTTCAACGCAGTAACAGCTGAATATTCTGATATGTAAATTAAGCCTTCTCTTCATGACGAATTGTAAAAACTTGCCAATAAATTCAGTGAAAGCGAATATATTTCCGTAGTTAACACCCACACACGTTACAAAACACACATACCATTTAAAAAATATAAATACCTTTTAAAAACTGTACTCTGCACATAAAACATTTTATACACAGTAAGATATCTGTGATATGTAAACAAATACATTTGCTAAATATTTCAGAATATTTCTTAACGGCTATCTCAGATAATTTATTGCCAAAAGTTTATGCAATGTGACTTGTTCCAAAAAAAATAGTAAAATTATACAACATCGTATTCCAAATAGGGGAAATTTCCTGGTCCTTTTCTAAAAAATGTTTATAAAATGATAGATGTTATATAAAATAATAGATACATTTTATAGATATTTATAAAATAATAGATGAAGGTTTAAGACGCGTGAGAGTATGAGGAATAATAACAATGTGCATAGGCTATCTGCCCATTTGGTTTTCTTGATGTTGCTTATTGAGCTACTCGTTTCTTGAAGTTTCTCGGAATATATTGTAAGCATATAGCGGCTTTTCAGGAAAATAACCACAGATCAACATGATAAAGCTTTTGAACAATTGAAAAACTTAATAAAAAGTTCTAATCTAAAAAAAAACCCTGTTTATATGTATCAGCGATTTTTTTAAGGGTTTTTGTTTCAATTTGGGTTAACAATTGCTGTACTTTTACTGTGGTCTTACGATCCCTGGACCCACACCCACAGGGCAGAGAAAGTAGAGTATGCAAGTGAAGGGAATTCTGGCGGCTATAGTTTAGGGGGTGAATACTTTTTCAACCAACATATTTTAGTTTTTCATTTTATTTTGCAGCTGTTGCTGACATTTAACTTCTTATACCTATAAACGTGTTCAGTTTCAGCCTTCGAGTTTTGATTAAAATACTTGAAAAAATGTGTACACATCATTTGTAATTTAACAAAATGAGACATCATTGAAAGGGGGTGAGTGCTTTTGTAGGGCCTTGTAATTCAGCTCAATTCAGTAAAGACTGCATTGAAACAAGGTTTAAAACCTACCCTGTCGTGAGCAAAACTCGCATTAAGTCACATACAGTAAGAGATCCGGTTATTCAGTACTTGTCCACTTCAGTTCAAAGCGTCAACGGGGAACCAGTTTCTACTGAGTTAAAATAGCGTCAATTTTACACGACTGGTAAATTACAGGTTAGAAGCTAACTGTTGAGCAGTTTAAACCAGCTCAAATCAATAAATACTAGTTCAGACCGTTAGAAATCTATTATACATTTCAACTGAATGCAACCGGAATTTCCACTGGATAGCTCCCTGGATAGTAGCTCCCCTGAAAACAGACTAGAAAAAAAAGACAAAAAAATAGACTGTTCTATACTGCCATCTTGTGGGTAATATTTCAATAGCTACCCGCAAAAGGTGTTACTTCCCACCTGAAAACAGTACTGTACTTTATTCAGGATTGCAGGCTGTGTTTAGCACCGAATGTTGCAACCCCACCGTACTTGAATTATTTCCAACTTCTGTTTTCTCAAATGTAGATGTGTATCGTACACTCAACTTATCAAATATATTTTTTTAAATATTTAAATAAGAATCCAACAAAAAAATGACAGACACGGTTTCGATTAACAGTACAATATATTAACATATAGCCTATTGTAACTCACTTTAATCCTCAACGTCATGGACCCGCATGTTCTGGTTGTGTCGTCGCTTACGAGAACGAAAGCATCCAATTCGAAGGAGCCATGTAAGTGAGGATATTTAAAATAGCTGTTTTGACAGTTAAATTGCCTCCACCTACTGTGTGCAAGCGAGACACTCGTGACCTGTCGCTTAAGCACCGTCTCCAAAACAGTACCAGGCTTTTGGATCATGGTTTCTTTTCTCAAAAGTGTAGAGAAGATGACTTCGGGACATTTGGTCCTGACTCTCTGCTGCTGCATTTTCGCAGGTGTATCCGCGGAATTCTCGGGATTCGCACCGCATTCGTGTCGGACACAGACGTTTTCCAGGACGCGAACGAACCGTGAAATTAGCCCCAGGTTTAAAAGGGATGTTAGCTCTGAAGGTTTCACCCCCTGTTTCTCATCCCTCGAAGCTGCAGATTTAAAGAAACTAAAGCAAAACACTCACGAGGTAAGGGTTGTTTTTATATTTCATAATGTATCACGTACCTGAAGTGTACTTGCTAGCATCTTTATGTAATTTACATTGACTGAGCCGCAATTGCAAATAAGGACGCTTTTTTGTGTCACGTGCGTTGAAAACATACTGTACACACACCAGGCTGTGATATCAATGTTTAACCATACATTTTTACAAAGTTCAAATGTCTTAAAAAGCGAAAGCAGTTGCACACTATGTGCTGAAAATCAAAACAGCGCTAGGTTTACCTGAGGCGCTACTTGTAGGTTCATTGCAGGGCTATGCAGAGCGTTTGGTAGATTTATATTAGAGTTACGGTATTGTAGTGCATATTATTTATCAAAAGAATAATATACACTACTTTTTGAGGGGGTATTCTACAGTACGTGTTTCATTGTTCGTATGTAAAAGGTAAGCTTATACAGTAGCTGTGGTGCTGCTGTGCGATTATATTAGGTACAGCTACTGTATAATAGGTCCGAATCCAAGTCCGAATCCTCACAACCGGGATGTCTGTGGCGCGAACTTTCAGTTCAATTACTTAGGCTACTGCCTAGTCGTCCTCAGTATTCTCATATTGGCATAAACCACACTGAACTTTCTACAAGCAATGCGTTATACTGTAGGAACGTTCTGCCAACAAAGAGACAGAATGTATTCTGGATGTGCTTGCTGAATAAATTTACATTTTGGTTGTGTGGCATTATCTTATAGTTAGATATAAGAATAAATTTGCAATGAATTCAGTTAACACCATGTTGCAGCACTTATGTAAAATGTGTGCTCACATGGATAATCATACTGAGAAAGTACAGCTACTGTAGTATTAAAAATAAGAATTCCCAAATATATTGGAACACAAGAAAGGTTGCAAACGAGACCTGTTTGCTAGTTTGTAGCCAAACTAGGGTATTGGCTTCAACAACAAGGCTGGGTAGCTTGTGACATACTCCCACAACCCTTTGGGTAAAGAAATTATATAGTTGTGTATAAAGGGGACATTTTGTTTTAAAGGAGAAGAGATCACAGTCTCAAGATTAATAGGCATATTGCCACTGGCCTGCCAATTGTACAAAAGGGGAAGTGGGTATTTTTGTTTTGTTTAGTTGCATTTCCGTAAGAGTATTTTTTGTTTTTGTTTTTGGTAAATATGATGCTAACCATGTCAAGTTGCAACAAAAGACCATGTGAATTTAAATAATATAACATTTATAAAAAATGTCAAGTAAAATACTTTCTAAGATCCATGTATTTTCTAACATTTCTAATTTTACTTGTAATGTCAGTAACATTTTTCTAATCTCAGAAAGTCAACTTGGTGACCTCATTCTGCTCTCTTTTTCAGACTAAATTTCTTGACGATGATGGCTCCAGTTTCATCCTGAGCTGGGTGGGGGATGGGACTGGTGTAAGTATTTTTAAAATATCAAGAAACAAAGTTCTTAAATAAACCTGAAAATGCATTTAAGATAACAGACATTATACCGGATCGATGTAGAAGACTCTCACAAAGGAAGTGTGATACAGTTGGCTTTCTGTGTTTTTCTCTTTTTTCAGGCCAAGTCTCCATTTACGTTATGAATAGTATGGAATAGCAATTTGAACGTAGAGGACAGAGTTTTTTTAAAATCCAAATGAATGTATTCCTTACTTTTTTGTGCTCAAGTTCTCCGTCTTCAAAGACACAATGCCTTGCTAATGATTTTTTAGAATTTCCTTCAAATTGTAACAATATACTGTTGAACAATGTTAAAGGGAAGATTAAAAAATAAGCCTATCTGGCATGTCTTCCACAGTCTTGCTGACTTGTAACTAACGGATGAAAAGATCTCCACCAGTTGTTTCTTTTTGGTTGAGCTTTAAAAGCCAGACGTGCTCTACTTGATACTACTTGGTAAATGACTTCAACCGAAATGTTGTGGTTTAACAGTTTAGATCTTGTGCAATGTTTGAGTTGCTGTGGCTGAGACCATGTGTTTTTGCAACAGCCTGTATTCTAAAGGAGAACAATTGTAGGCCCAATGGGCATACTCACCTTGGTCACTACTGTGGAGGTGTTACCACTGTTTGACTGGGATAAACCCACAAAGGGGTCAATATTTAGTTATAGTGTTGTCTTAATTTTGGGACAGGACTAAAAGAAACAGGCCTTCACCATTTCCAAGTGCAAGAAAATGAGACAAAAAGACTTTTATGTAACTTTTTATATAACAATGAGGAAGAAAAAGTTACCTTATCATAAAATACAGCCTCCTCCACCCAGAATAGTCAAGTGAAAAAAAAAATACATAGTTCAAATCTGACTGTATAAATTATAAGGATATAAATGCTGAATCACTCCATAATTACACAATACATTTTACAAATAACACAGCTGAGGTGATTGCAGTAGACAAAAAAACTCTTCAGTGAAACATTCCAGGTAACTAACTTTTCATTGAGCATCGCTACAATTTAACAATGCTAGTAGATTTATAAATGCTAAAGGCGGTGCATCTCTCACGGTGACGTTCTCATGTTGTCTCCTAAAGGGGTGATTGATAAAATGACAAAATAAATTGTGAAAATTAAAAAAGTAGGGCACAATCGATACAGATAAAAGGATCACCTACTGTACTATGGAGTGTTGAAACTACAAGACTGGTAAAACATATCGATCCAAACCTAAAATCTAAACAGAAGATACATTTCTTTTTAAATCTCTCCGTGTCCTTCTGTCTGCCTGCATTTTTAAAAATCTGTTTCCATCAGTACATATAGATAATTGTCTTACAGATTATACAGTGAACAATATGCAGTGCGTCATGAACAGACAGTTATATTGAATGGAAATAAATCTGCTTTAGTTTTTGGGAAAATGAGCCTAATGAAAAGGACATACACTGTACTTTGTGAGTATTCGAAATTAATCCTGCAAAGAATAATAGATATAGATATAATAATAGAGAGATCTCAGACCTTGCAAAATAATATGAGGCTGAATTACTTTTTTAGAAAGGTTACATTATTAATGAGGTATTCACCCATCAAACAAAGATGATTATTACACCATTTCATTTTTTATCCTGCCTATTGTTCTTTAAAACAATCTGAGTTTTTTGTAAGGTTATTGAATACTGCTGACATTTTGGTTTTCTCTCAGTTTTGGGGTAGTACACTACAACAACAATATAAAAATAAAGACCCAACTTTCCAGCTTGTTCTGTTGCCGAGTTAATTAAATGTTTTTAGTAATGGGATCATATTAGTTATACAACTGAAAAGAAGAAGCTTGAATAGGTGAAAGTGAAGTAACTGCAATTCTAAGCTAAAATACAGAGCAGATGTGTTTATTCAGTGGACAGTATGGAATGAAATAATAAAAAAAGTATTTTAAATTGTTTACATAAAATTATTTTGCCATTTTCATTTCTATTGTCATGAGACAATTTTAGAAAGAAAGTGTCAATCTAATGCTACTTAAAAGAAAATCAAGTTACTTTTGTGTGAAAGGCATGGTGGATAAAAAGGCTGATCTGATTGTTCTCTGACAGTTTTCTGCATTTCGGCTTAAAGCAAAAGCAGTAGGAGAATGCTTGTGTGTGTTTTTTTTCATTGATGTGGTGATACATGTGGTGTGCCTATTTTTGTTTCGATCAGGTTTGTGATGAATAAAAGTGTGAGATGGTAATTTACATTTAAGAGTGATTAACATTTAGAACTATAATAAGAAGAAGCATGTACACTTCAGGAATTGAAGAATGAAATGTCTTTTATCACCAGGACAGAGTAATGTCTAATATACAGTCATTCAAAGTTATATTTACTCTGAGATGAAAATACGTGGTACACACTGTACCACCAATTTTCATATCTCAATCACGTAATAGTTTTGTAAAACTCAACACATCCATGAACTGATGAAAATCGAATTCTCTGTGCTCATGCAACACATTAAGAAAAGTCTAAGGTAACATTAAAATGTGTTTTGCTGTGGCAGTGTATTCATTGCTCTTGTCTCTTTTAGGTTATTCTGGTCTTGTCCACTTACAATATTCCAATCGACTGGTTCTTCGAGCAAGGCTCTTCACATCTTTATAGAAGGTAAGGGAGGAAACATTCACAAATATTTGTGAACAAAGAAATGTATCTGTTGATTATTTTTAATACCTTTATATGTTTAACATTGAAGGTGCAAGCAGAAAACAATCCCTGAAAGGATGAGTTTTATTTGGACTATTTGTTTATTTATTGAACTATTTATTTATCATGCTAATACAAAGGTCTCTCTAAGAAACATACCATTTCACTTAGATGTATTTGATTGTCACTTCAACTGAAATTAGAGAATAATTCTGCTAGTTGTATGCTGAACTGCTATAAATAACACAGTCCTAGATTTCATATTAGTGATCCTCTCAGCTTTCTCTGCTTAGGTTCAAAGTTATCCTTTTAGGACAGATTCATTAGAAATCAGCTCAATCAATTCTGTGAAATAGACACGGGCATTTGAATATGTACTGTGATTGAATGTAATAAAGATTCTTGACTACATTCTAAACAGATACTTGAATTGTGCTTCCAGATAGCATAACATTTCTTTGTTGTACTTTTTTAATATCAAATCAAATTGCAATGTTTTTGTTTCATTACAGTTTCTACGCATTTCATGTTTTATTAACTTGGTTTCACATTCAATAAGTCAGTGGTTGCTTTTTTAAATGCCGCATATGTTTTGACTTTAATGGTATCACAGATATTTCTGGACATACAGTATGTATTACCTACTAATTCTGAAAGAAATGATGGTATAAAACATTAAACGTCCATTCTGTGAGTCAAGAATGGCTATTCCAGCTGTTCCGAACATCAACATTCAGAAAAGCTCCTATTAAAGTGAACGGACTTTAATTCTAAATCATCAATTTTCCATTGCAGTGAAGATTCTGGAAAAACCTTCAGTGATATCTCCCATGTCATCAACAACACCTACATTCGGAAAGAATTTGGAATCAACGTGGGTCCTGGTCATTCACAGCGGGTAAACAGAAATTACTCAACTGTAGTTTATGGCTTTGTCTAGGTGTTATGAAACTGTGAATGTCAGCAGGCAATCACAAATACTGTAGAAGTGGTTGCGTGTTTGACCATTTACTGGAGTCAGTTTACAGTTTTACGCTTAAAGCAATACCATTCTGCTTAAAATTCAATACTATTTTCTCCTTTCCTTAAAATATCCTTATCAATATTTTAAAAATGAAAACAACATGTTGAGGTACTGTATGTAACAAAAAGGAATTAGAACCCTAGAAGAGCACCCTCAGTATCTTATCAATAAAACCATTAACTAAACAAAACTGACCTTCTAATGGTTTTGGCTGTCTTAAGTAGTTAATGCACCAGCTATATCGTATTACATTTAGTTCACTACTGCAAAACATAATAAAAATGCAAATTATCAGTGTAATGATTGTGTCAGAATCCATTAATAAATTAGTTAACATAGACTCTTCAGTACTGCATTGCTGAAGGGTGTTTGCTAGCTGTGTTCTACAGTCACAGAGTGTGACTCAGGCTTTCAACGATATATTTAGTTAACAACCACCATATAACACTTCTTTTTGGTTTCTTTGAATTTGTGAAGAGAGAGAGAGTAAACACTATTGCTTGTATTTAAGAGGATCATGCTTATTTGGTTGCAAGTACAATTATCATATCAGTCCATTTCCTAAAAAAAATATGGCACTGTCAGTTTCAGCATTGTGGCTTGAGATTGTTTTCTACTCAGATAGATCTAGGAAAAGAAAAGTCACCTGTTTGCTGTTATAAAAGCTCCTATAATTAATTTCTAATCACATCATTGTGGATCCACTGGAGTGACTTCAATTGAGAATATCTTTTTGAGAAGTCTAGTACTCTTCTGCGTTACAGGGTAAAAGATCTATCTTTTGAGTTAATATGAAATTCTGTTCGGGTCAGAAATTAATTAATTTATTTTCTTTTTTTGCCTCTCGAGCAGCAGCACCTGCTCATAAAGTTTGGGAACAACAATGAACATAATATTTCAAATAAGAAGCGCTTACTAGATTGAACAGAGGAAGCACATAAGAAAGGCTGCAAATGATGCCATTCGGCTCCTCTAGCCCATTTGGTAGATAAGACAAGATCACTTTATTGGCCATATACAATTTCTTGTATTAGGAATTTGTCTTTTTTCACATACCCCAGCTTGCTCTCCATGAGACACACAGACATAGCTTGGACTTAGAGCGCAGGGTCAGCCATTTATACAGCACCCCTGGAGCAGTTGGGGTTAAGGGCCCTGCTCAGGGGCCCAGCGGAGTAGGATTCCTCTGCAGGCCGCAGGATACAAACTGGTAACCTTCCAGCCACAGGCACAGATCCTGAGCCACAGAGCCACCACACCGCCAGATAGTAGCTGATTGAACAGAGGATCAGGTCGTGTCTTTAATGAAGCCAGGATGTTGCCTTCAGCAAATAGTTAATTTTAACTTTATTTCTGTTCTCTTAACTATAGATCTAAGCATTCTGTACTTTTTAAAAAATATTTCATATGAGGAACGTGATGAGCTAACCTGAACATTTTCACTGCCTGCATGCATTACCTTGCACTTAAACGTTATTTTTGATGCACCAGATGTCTATCCAAATCTGAATAGTATCTTAGGTGCTTCTGTATGGCAGGGGATGTGTGTTGCTGAAACTGCATTTCGAAGGGCACATGACACACCTGTGACCCTTGACAAGTTTCCTTACTTCACAGTCTAGATCATTGAGTTAAATCAGTAATTCCAGCAAATATAATACTGGTCCTTGTGGTACCCCATTAATGCCCTCACAGGAGCCAGGTGTAACTTCTAATAGTAGTATATTCATACTTGGTCAAAGAATCTCAGAATCTCTAAATCAGTTCTTACTATCTCCAGGAATTCAGTTTTATTTAGATGCTCTTTTTTAGTTTACATTTTTCATAGCATTTCATGTAAATGCCCACCTTTTTGGTCTACTTGTCTCTTTAACGCTTCATTCTATATTATATTGAGATATTTTATAGTTATTAGGACAAATAATGCATTGAAAAAAACTCTTGTATGCTGGATTGTACAAGCACTGGAAATGCATAAATTAGAAAAGATGTCTGCTAACTGACTTTCATTTTGAAACATCTGAAGAAGATACTGTATGATCAATCAAGGGTTGTTTGTCAAGTTATGTTTCAATTGAAAATGAAGTCTAAATGTTGATCATGTACAGTAGCTTATTTCTTCCTCATCACCATAAGGCTTGACTGAATGTTCAGACATTATAATGAGTCTGAAGCCATTTGTAATAACCCTCCTAAATTCTTATTCTAAATGTCCAGGTTATTCTCACTGCTGATACATCAGGAGATGGAGAGAAACGAGGTGTAATATTTACATCTGGTGACTCAGGAATTTCATTCCAAGAAACGACATTGCCTTTCCACCCTGGACAGGTCATTTCCTATCACCCCTCAAACCCAGACTACTTGCTTGTTACCAGCACTGATGTAAGTAATAACATCCAGCCAAAGACTCATAAATAGTCTGAATCATATCATGATTGATGTTTTTTTTTCCCTTTGACTGTTTCATTTATCATAGAAGCCGTAATGTTAGTATTTGCCTGAAATCATAGGCATTGTATCCAACTCTAATTCATATTATTCAAATTACAGTATACTTTGGAGTATGCTAAATTCTGTTATAATATATGGTTTGTAAGTCTGTGAATGTACAGTTACAATACACAATTGATAACCATCCGGCAAGCATTAAAATTTACATTTTATTATCTTCTCACATTACCAGTTCTCTGTACCCATCCAATAGTATACCAAAACAAAATTATTCAAATCTAAAATTTAACTAGAAGATTTTGATTTTACTTCTATACAGAAGGTAAAGAAAAATGTACACTAGCCAGTATCTAAAAACATAACACCCATCTCTTTTTTTTCTCTTAATATTACTGTACAAGTGTCCCCTGTTAAAAAAAAAACATTTTGAATGCTGGATTTGCCCCAGCAGGCAGGCAATTACATTATGCACAAGCTGACTCTAGCCATTTAAAAACAATACCGACAAGAATGCATGTGTTTAACATAGTTTTGGTAAACCGAAAGGGAATTAAAGTTCATAAACCAATTTAATTGTTCTCTTTTCTATTAATTTATTTTAGAAAACTTTGTGGTTATCTGTAGACTTTGGACAAAATTGGAGAAAAGTACACGCCAATGTACATTCCTTCTCATGGTAAGAGTATACTAATTTAGATTTCAATTCCAAACAACAAGATACATCTACAGTATCAGTAGAAAGGGATATTTTAACAAGACAAAAATATATTCATGAAGAAAAATCAAATCTTTATCTAAATTGATAAATACTCTTCTGTAAATGCTGATCTAATGCCAGAAGATATTAATAAATGTGTGATCATGACTGTGGGGCCACACCCACACTCTGTGCAGTCCAAACCACCAGTGCTTAGAACTGTCTTGTGTGCTGTACATCAGCATTTTAAGTGTAGTTATTGAAAAGCTACAATAAGCCACTAATGTTGTTTCAGACACAGGCAGCTCATGTCAGTCGTAATGCTTTCCCACCTGGGAATTTTTTCCTGGCTTAGGAGGTTAAACTGAGAAGACTTCTTTTTGACCCTGGTTGTGCAGTGTTTTGGAACATTTGAACACTATATAATGTACTAATACATTCAAGGACAGCTGTTTGGGATAGTTTATGTGTGATTTAATGGGTTTTTAGCATTGCTGTCTCACTTCCCCAGAGTCCTGGTTTTTATTCTGACTTGGGGTGCTTGCCTGTTTAAATTTTATATATTCCTCTCATGCTTGAATAGGTTTTAAGAACCTAACAATGGTTATAACTATACGAGCCAATTTGGCCAAAAAGCCCTTTTGTTAGTAGCTTATTGATTCAAGGACCTCATCCAGCTGTTTCTTGAAAGAAGCCAAGGTCTCATCTACAACAGTATAGCTGAGTAGCTTGTTCCATACCCCCACAACCCTTTGCTTAAAGAACCGCCTATTGTTCTCAGTTCTTACATGTAGTTCTCATTTACAGTATATCCTCCGGTTCACGTTTCACTGTTCATTCTGATGAAATCTGCTGCATGGACTTTGTCAATGTCTTTGAATTTCTTGAATACTTGTATTAGGTCCCCTTATGGTTTTGTCAGTTCAAGACTCAGTGTAGGACATTCCATTCAGTTCTAGAATGCATTTGGCAACTCTTCACTGCACATACTCCTGGAAAGCAATATCTTCTATAGAATGCAGTGACCAAAATTGTACAAAATTGTCTAAATGAAGTCTTGCTAGTGTATTATATAGTTTTATCATGACACTGCTTGATTTGAATTCTGCATTCTGACTACGTCGGCTTACATTGTGTCTGCTTTTTATTGCTTCCCTACATTGTCTAAAAGATGTAAATGATGTGTCAGCATAAACAGTATTTCCCATTGTGTATTTATTGTTTATATTTTTAGTGCTGACATGCAAAACTCTGCACTTGTGTTGGACCAGTCTTGAAATCTTGAATACTAAAACTTTTTTTAATTTTGGTATCATCAGCAAACCTGACTACTTTACTAACTATACAAGAATCTAGAAAACTGGTATATATCAGTAAGAATAGTGTTCTGGGCTTTTTCAGTAAATGCTTTTTTTTTTTTTGCAGTTCACCCATATAGGCTATCTGTGTGTAGCAACCTGGATATTGTCAATGTATGAGCATTAGCCCCTGTCTCAGATAAGGAATTTTGAAAGTCTTTTGAAAAATACTTTTTTTGGCATTTCTAACCAGTTTCCTGGTTGTCTGGTTGTTCTGTTTGGAATGGCACCTGATCTAGGCAGTGTCTCGCTGATACATTGTACTTCAATGATGAACTTCACTGTTTAAAGAGGGTTTAAAGTGAATCTTACCTGGCTTTCATGGCCGTATTGCTGTAAGACTATGTGAGCTGTACCTTGAAAATCAATATATATCTGAGGAAACCTACAGAGAGTGTTGCATTTACATTGAAGTCATGTTAAACCAATTCTATTACAGAGAAACGGAGAACATTACAGTGATTTTGTGATCTTTGAAACTATTTTGAGAGTTTGAGATTTGTTTTAAAGCTATTTGGTTTTCATGGCTGGATCACTGTAAGACTATGTGAGCTGTACCTTGGAAATCTGTATATTGTACATATGAGGAAACTTACAAAGAGTGTTGCATTTACTTTGAAGTCAGGTTAAACCAGTTTGATTACACACAGAGAACATTACGCTAATATTGTGATCTTTTAAACTATTCTCTTGACCCTGAACTGTTTTTGGGTTACTGTAGCAAAGTACAGTCACATGATGTGAGTTTCCATAATGCAAATTGGCCAGAAAACAATATATTTATCAATGTAGATTGTGTAGGTTATTTAAATATCAAGTCATGACTGCAAGCTCTGAGAGCAACAAATTTTGTGTGGGAATGGTTTTGCTAAAAAAAATATGATATTTGAAAGAAGGAAACTGAAGGCTTTCATTTTATTTTTCCTAGGGGGGCAGGTATCACGCTTTTTTTCAGTACAAGCCCAAAAGGCACAGGTAAGTGATACATTTGACATTTTATTTAATATTTATATTGATGAAGTATTCATGTTTTATTTACCATGTGGCCTAATGCTACTATTTGTAAGTATTTTTATTTTATTTCCAGTTGATGCTGACCGTAGAGGAGAGTTGTTCTTGAAAAGAACTGAGGATCTGGGGAAAACCTTTACAACTGTCTCCAAGAACATCTTTTCATTTGGATACATAGGCAGTTTTCTCTTTACTTCTGTTGTGGAAAAACCAGTAAGTGTTGACTGTGCAGCTTCACTCAGGCTACTTACCAACATAAACATGTATTTGCCTAACACAATTCTCATCTCCAAGAGAAAAACAGAAGATAAAAACTATTATATAAACACAAGAACATTATACACAGGATACGTATATATATATAATGTTTGACATTACTGCTGAAACAAGAGAAACGTTGTAATATAATGCAAATTATAAATGAGGAATTACTGTTACAACTTTATCCAGAACTGAAAATGTCATGTAATACGGTATTATACAGACATGCTACAATGTCACTGTGTAGGAATCCACGATCCAGTAATATTATAATAGAATTATATTTAGTGAGTGCTATGGCTTATGGGGAAGAAATTTCACATGAAAACAACATAAAAACCAAATTTGAAGGTAGTGCAGTTCTTCTCAACATATTTCAGCTTCACATGTCACTGAGTCGGTATGTAAGACTCTGAGAGGACTTGTGAAACTGGCACAGATAACAGAAGTGGTTGAGGAAGGGAACATAAGCTCTGCAACACTGATATGAAGTTCCCCCCGACGAGCTTTGTGATAGAGATCTTCAGCATAAAGTAAGCTTTTTAAACGGCCCGGAAGATATACAGTACATTAGTACAGAATAGTTTTGGTGGGCCTGCAGCCCATCAGAAACCTTTGCTGAAGAGAGGAAACAATAAAAATGAGAGGATTCCTAGCAGCTAGAGATGAGAGCAGCAAATCAGTTTCAAAAAACGCTGCAAAAAGTAATTTTGGTTTGGCCTGCCAGCTTGTTTAGGGTTATTATCTTACTGAAAAACAAAACTTACCTTTCACCTACTGTACAACTCACATTCCTTAGAGCTTTGATGATGACTGGAATAATCTTGTATCTTGACTGTTTTTTGTGTTTTCACTGCAGCAGCACAACCCAAAAACCTTCATGTTACAAACTCGGTTTTATTTTTGGAACTACAAGCATTTTGACAGTGCCATGACCTTTTCTTTGCACATTATGCTCATGGTGCAGATACATTTTATCCAGGTTTTCTAATGCTCTTTTGACAGCCATGCACTTTTCAGGTCAAAACATGATTTAATGCTCCAAATATCTCAATTCTAACCCAGAAAGCATGTATTTAGTATACATTTTCAATTCTTTTATAGGGGAAACCCAGAGTCATTTATGTGTCATCTAACCAGGGAGACAGCTTTAATCAAGCTCAGTTACCTTCAGCCACACTAGAACAGGTAATTACTTTTTAAAGCCCTTTCATCTTTGCCAAATCTGAACCATCTTTTAAGGTAACACTCTACCTGAGATTTGTTTTTCTGTGGGCAGTACTCCTAACAATAAAATGATTGGTTCTGAGGTACTGGAGAGAGGTGAAATTTTGTTTGGAATTAGTGTTGTGACAATTGTAGTTTCCCGTTTTAATAAATGAGCAGAAAAGGTTTCAGCAGTTCACTGGATCACGTGACTCCTGTCTAGGGTAAGTAGGTAGAAAGAACACCTTACTCCTGGTCTCTTCTTAATGTTCATGCCATGTGCTTGTATTGGTCAGTGAGAAATAATTAATGGTGTAATAGGGTGTCTTTCCCATTTCAGGATTTCACATGACAAAATTGAAGACTGATTAACCATATGTCTTTGTAACCTGTATAATGTAAAGATTGTACATTTTATTTTGACTGGATCATCAGCAAGGAAATCTTTCGCATGAGTTTGCACATATAATTTTAATTGCAGATTTGCATTTAAATGGTTCAAGTCTTGAGTCTTTTGTTCATGTAGCCATCAGGATTTTCATCAAATAAATGTCTTGCTGTCTTGTATTGTATATTACAAGTATTATAAAAAGTACTTGACGTTTGTGTTTTTACAAAAACAGAAAACAAATTAAATTAATTGTAAATGCATCCCCAAATTAGTCCAGTTTTACTTTAATATGATTATTTTGTACCAACAAATTTATTTCTTACATTTAGTTTTAATAAAAATGTAATGTACACTAATGGATCACAGATTTGATACAATTGATAGCCAGAGGGCCTGAGGGCAAAAGTAATACTCTGCCCTTTCAAAGCCCTTTCAAATCCTTGCGTCATGAATGTCTCTTATGTCCCTCTGCAGAAATACTGTATAAAGACATTGATGCTTTGGAAGTAAAGACGCAGCCCTTTGTGTATTACTTTTACTAGAAAATGTGTGCAGCTGAGGAGAGTCTTTGTGTTACCTGATAAGCCATTTTAGGATACTTACACACGAAAATAAGCATATTATTGCAGTCCTTTTCTAATGATTTAAAAATCGTGTCTTTTTTGCTTATACAGTAAGTGATATGATTCTTAGATTATTATGAGTGTTTTTCTTACCTTTTGATGTATTTTTGCATTAAGAGAATTATATTTATTAAATGTCTTGACATTATATTACATTATATTATATTTATTTTATTAATAATATTTGACTTTAGGTGCATCTAATCTTTTTGCATAAGGCCAATGGCAATGAGGCACGTTTGTGTAGTCTGGAGGAAAGTTGCATGAACACGAGGCATCGGATTTTTTTACAATCTGCTAACCACAGTGGTCCTCATCGGTGCCTTACTTGTGCTGCTGACAAAACAGAAAAATAGCAAATCTCCCAGGATGATTACGGAACCTGAAAGTCAAGAGCAGGGCAGAAACAAACAGGTGTCTGAAATATGAGAGTACAGAGCCACGGACATGAACGTACACCCTCGGCTGGAATGCAGCTCAGTAAGCTTTCTTACCAGCTTGGTTGCCAGACAAAAGGGTAGGGGTGGCCACCTGAGAATCATCAAAACCAGGACTCCATCCTGCTTATTGTTTAAAAAAAAAGTTGCTATACGTATTATACATTATACTAAATTACATTTCAGGCAGAGGGGAGAACAGCATGTATAAAATTATTGTTATTGATGCTAATGCTTAGTATTGGAGATTTGCCAGAAATATCACAGGAAGTATTCAAGATTTTTCGGGACACCTGGCTCAGAAAGAGAATAACCTCAGTAAAAAAGGGACAGATAGTAACCCTACGTCCATAAGAATATGAATGGTTACAGAGAAGAGGAGGCCATTCCATTGTTAGTAGCTAAGAGATCCAGGGATTTCACCCAGCTGTGTTTTGAATGACGGCAAGCTATCAACTTTGACATAACCACATTTTTCCTATAAAACAGGAAGATCTCAATGAATCTGAAAGATATTTCTCCAGGTACAAGTCCAGATTTTTCAGGTTTTTAGTCCAGATTGGCCTTTAATGAATCAGCTCAATATTGTCTGGATCAGACCAGTTTAAACACCTTTTGAGGTTATTTAGATGCCGGTGCTTTCCAAAGGAAGAGAAAACATACAGCCACACCCGCCAGGACCTGAATGGGGGATCCCTGTAGTATTGCACACCTGGTGATAGATGAGTCCTTCTGCTTCTCAATTTTCTCAGTTCAGTCCTTGACCTCATTTGTACATTGTACATTACAGGCCTATTAATGGTACATTTAGGGTGGAAAGCAGAGGCCACTTGCAATCAAAATCATCTGCGTCTTATTTACAAGCCTGAACTTTATGTTACGGCTGCTACTTGCCACAAGCACCTAATCAACCCTAAGCACCGCCAAATGAGGTGGCTAATTATCCCCAGCTTTGCACCATCAACTTAACTTTAAACCCTCACTTCACATCACACTGTGCCTGGCATTGGTCTCCCTCTGGAGTTCATACCTTGCCTTCGCTACAACTTTTCTAAATGGAAACCACTGCTTTGAACCTGACCTCGTCCTGACCACGACTTCAGTCTCACGGATCTGATTGATATCGCCTGAAGAAATCTCTCATCTTCCTAGTTCTCCCTCTACTCCTCACAGGCTCCAGTTTATATTAAGGTCGTCCAGGCCTAACACTTCAGTACTCTCCTAGAGCAAAACAGGATGTTACTCAGTTATGAAATATGTTTGAATGTTTTTTAAATGGTCTAATTTAAACTAATTTTTATTTTCCTCTTTGTTTTGTTGCACGTTTTTGTAAGAAGTGCTCCTTGTTTTTCTTCTTTTACACAGATGCTTTTTAAAAAACCCTTTATTAAAGTTTTCCATCTTTCTCTGCAATGATGTCTTTACCTGTCAAGGAAATGTTGCTATTGCCAACACTATTACAGAAAAAGGGCACTTATTAATTCAGTTATTTTTTATTTTTAGTTCTATTCCGTGCTTGAAGCAGATGCTGAGATGATATTTATGCATGTGGATGAACCAGGAGGTGGGTACTTAAAAGCAATGCATTATTTTTCACCTGTTAGTTTTGGATTTTCATTAAGCCTGTGAATTTATCTGGTTGCTTTACTTTGAACTGATTCCAGAGTAGCAACAACATACTGTACATTTGTAACATGGTAACCACAGTTGTACAAAATATTCTAAACAAGATTTTGCTAGATTGCTATACAATTTTAAAATAATGCCATGTTGATATAATTCTATGCTTTTATCCATATGTCCAAACATTATATTTGCCATTCATATTGTTTCCATGCATTGTTTTGAAGTTGCAAATAATGTGTCAATATAAACTTGTCTTATTAAGTTCAGTGTTTTCCATTTAATAAAGTATCTAGTTTATGTTTTTGCTATCTGCATTTAAGAATCTATACTTGTCTACATTAGTCATGTTTTCTCATTCTTGAATTTTAAAGATTTTTGATTTTCCTTTGCAGCTTCTATAGCATTTGCTTATCCACCTATTCTGGTGTCACTGGTATCTGGTTTCTGCAGACTTCACTAGTTTGCTAACTGTATCAGAACCTAGATCATTGATATAATTCAGGAAGAGCAGTCAACCTCATACAGATCACTGAGATAATCCACTTATTACGTCACCCAGATTTGAGCATCCACCACTACCTGTACTGTTCTCTCACTATTAACCAATCCAAATACACACATTACATGCTTACTGCCTGTAATTTGAGAAGTAATCTTATATGAAGAATTTTATCAATGGTGTACTGAAATCTAAGCATACCGTATAGTATGTTCGCTGTGTATTTGCTGCTTCTTCAGAGAACACCAATATGTTAGTAAAGCACCTTTTCTAAAGCTACGCTCACAAACCCTTATATTAATTTAATTTCCAGATAGATGATCCTCTAGTTCTGATGAGTGTTCCTACAATTTTATACATACAGTAACAGACCCATTGGGCTATAATTACTTGGTTCAGTTCTATTGCCCTTTTTCAAGGATGGGCACAATTTTCTAGTCAATATATACAAAGCAATTAGTTTTATTGTTTTATTCAGCTAAATAATAATAGTGTATACATTACAGTGCTTAGGAGAGATGAGCTTAGTACATGAATTACAAACTAATTTGCTTAATTTAAATAGCTGACCTACTGTATGTACGATAACATTGAAATCAATATATCTTTCTAATGTTACCAGAAATTGTAACAGAGTAAAATAGAAAAAAAAGATAGGATAGCTGAATACACAAAGTTAGGTTGCTGTTGAAACTCTGTATGTAGTAGAACAATGAGCTTATAAATAATGTGTGGCACAATTCATGTGTTTGCTGTTCACTTTCCGTAACACAAAAGAAGACAGACTTGTTTGTCAAGATCTGTATGCAGCTGAGAGTTTCAGCTGTTATGCATAAATGCTTTTGTGTTTAGGTCAGAACAAGTGAGTAGCACATATCCATTGTTGTACCATAATTCAGTTTGCAGATAAGGAAACATGCTTTACTATCATCAAGAACCTGTTATTTAACACAGATATTTAGTATATGGAGATGCCACCCCAAAGACATTTGGAAACCAGACTTGTTTTTATTTGAAATGGTAAAAAAAAAAACATTATGTGGTATCTACTGTTTGTCTTTCTTTGATACTCTGACAATTGTCTCTTTTTTAGACACAAATTTCGGAACAGTCTACACCTCTGATGACAGTGGCATTGTTTTCTCCAAATCATTGGAACGCCACCTTTTCTCACCAGAAGGAAAAAGTGACTTCACAAACATCACCTCACTTCGAGGGGTTTATCTGACAAACGTCCTTGAAAAAGGTGTAGTATTTTGGGAGTGTTATGTCACATGCACACGCACGCACACACATGCACACACACACACGAATGCACACAAAACAATTCAACTGAAGCATGAAACCAAATCTGGGATTTTTTTGTTAGTTACAATTAATCCATGGAAAAAGTATAAAGGAGCCCTTATAAGGCACATAGGTATCCATTTACAGTAAAAAGCTAAAAAAGTAGAACTGAATGGGAAATGAGCAGCACTGCGGCATGATGGTTATCATTGCTGTCCTGTCCAGGGTGTATCCCCCCTTGTGCCTGTTGCTCCCTGCGATCCGAAATTGGATGAAGAGGTTAGAGAATAGATGGATGGGTGGATGTGGCATGTGGAATTGTGAATTGAGAACTGCAGTGTCTTCTTATAAAGACATTCAACAACTAAATTCATTAAAAATGAATTGTCATGACTTATGCTTGCATTATAACCAACAGTGTTTTATATTTATGAAATAGTGTATTTGATTAGTAGTTTATGTTGATTTTAATTAAAGGTTTTTTTTCTGTGTATCACTCCAATGTTTCCATGTAGTATCTAGAATATTCAGAGGTGGCAACTTTAGAACTATTTTAAAGGGTATATTTCTAATATGCAAAGCAAATGTTATTGAAAACAGGGTTAAAAACCTTTTTTTCCTAGATGGACGTATTCGATCAGTCATATCCTATGACAGAGGAGGAGAATGGAGACTCCTAAACAAACCAGAAAATGTTAAATGTGAAGCATCTGTGAAGGAGGTAGTTGCAAAACTCTGCTGTTTTCTCACCAAAGCATTCTGCATGTTTTACATAATAAAAGGATTTTACAGATTTTTTTTTACATTTTTAATTATTGGAGTTCATCTTTAAAATAATTGTTTTTGTAAAGTAAAAAGAATTGCAGGATATTCTGGCAAAAGACAAATGTGTTCTTTTATTTGGATATGGGAGTTTTTTATCTCACATTAAATGAAAAAGTCACAAAGTTAATTCTTTTATGTGACTGAATTAAAATTCTGCACTATTGTTTGGTGGTATAACTAGTGAAATAATATCAACCTCACTGAAACCTCAGCTGCAGAATATGCTTATTTCTTTTCATAATGTAAACAAGATATACTGAAGCATTTCTTTTAACATTTCTGAATAAAAAAATACAAATATTTCAACATGGACATTGGACCTAACATTGCTTCTTTGATCTTATTTTTTATTTGGAGCTCTTAGCAGAACAGAACAAAAATTAGTTGAAGAGATCAATGTGGTGTTTCTGTGTTTCTGTAGTGCAAGCTTCATATTCATGGGGAGTATAGCCGGATTCAAGATTTGGCTCCCTTGATACCACTGTCTGACCCAAGTGCCACTGGGCTTGTTATTGCTCATGGTGAGTTATTACTAATGACAATTAGCCATGACCAGCATTAGCAAAACAAAAAAGTAAAAACAAAAAGTTACAATGTTATGATCTCCTTGTTCTAATGCACGTCATTTGTCCTGCTTATAGGGAGTGTTGGAGATTCCATCAAATCAGCCAGGCCTGACATTTATATTTCGGATGATGGAGGGTACAGCTGGATGAGAACTTTGAAAGGCCCACATCATTATGCCATTCTGGATTCCGGAGGACTCATTGTGGCTGTGGAATTTAATATCGACAAGGCCATCAAATCAATAAAGTACTTGAACTTACTCAAGGATGCCTGCTGACCTGAAACGATTTCTAGTATTTTTCCTGAGTGAATCCCTAAAAGCCAGCAAAAGTTCCAATTTAGCTTTGCTCCATCATGAAAATATTTAGGATTGTGTTTGTTTTGACATATTCAGTTCATTAGCTTTGTGTCAAAATAAAATAATAATACAATGATAAAACAATGAGTTTTTAAGAATGATTTAAAGAAATCAGAGGAACAAGACTTAGGTTATCATGGCATAAGCTTTTTCAACACTGTCATATGTGGCTTGATGTTCATGTATTTGATGATACATGATGATACATGTATTTCCGTGTTGCCTGTGCCTCTGTTTAGGTTTTCGACGGACGAGGGACAGTGCTGGAAGTCATATGATTTTACACAGCAGCCAGTGACCTTTGCTGGACTAGCATCTGAACCAGGTACCAAGACAATGAACATCAGTGTCTGGGGCTACAGGACAGAAGAAGATTCTAAGGTCACATGGGTGTCGGTCACCATTGATTTTGAGGAGCTCCTCACACGAGACTGTAAGTCTGTATTTTGGTATATTTTTCAAAGGAATCTTAGTGCTTCTTATTTCTTTTGTCTTACTTGCTATAATGAGTTTTTATAAATCCTCCTGTATGAGCCTTGTTTCACCATATTTACGTTAATTAGCGTGTTTGAAAATGCTTTTCTGTCCATCATTTGTGTACTGAAACTGAGCTTATTATTTTAAAGTTTAATTTCCTTTGTGTTTAATCATGTATAACAGATATAACTACAACATTATATATTTTTTTCACAAAGCACCCTTAATGTTCTGTTTGTTGATTAAAGAAGAAAGATATAATAAAGAATAGAGATATAAAGTAATAGAGAATAATTATTAAATATGTTATGAAAAGCAGAAATAAAAAGAAGCACCTTAATATAAAGGGGATTGTTCATAAAAATAGCCAGTTTGTCCAGACTGCCAACGGTGACAGCATTTTTATTCATTCATAAAACAACCAGAACGATAAGAAATTTAATGGTTGTGTAATTTGTCAGAATTGGTGGAAAATTAGCTCCAGGGGTCAAATATGTAAGATTAAAGTCTCCAGCGCTGACGGTTAAGTATATTGTGAAATTTACTTGTGAAATTCAAATTAATATGACAGAAAGGCAAAGAGAGCCAACATTCTCCTCTTAATAACTTATAATTATAAGAGTGTAGAAAAAAGATAAGCATCTGTGCAAGAGAAAATAACATCCGGGATATACGCACAACTGCCCATTTTCACGTGATTTGAGAAAATGACCTTTAATTGCTATAGGGACATGTACCAAATTCCAGCTTTTTTATCATTTTTATGACATATGGATTTGAAAATAGTGTGTGCAAAAAAGCCACTAGTGCTTACCTGTACTTCTAACAGGAAGCTATTTAACCCAACTTCCTCATTTGTGTGCTACCTGCTGTCATTTCATGACAGAATACAGGATGTAAGTCTAGGCAAGCTTACATACTGTACGTAGGTACTGTAGTTCATTCCAGGGTTTTTTCGGGAAGTATGCCTGTAATAATTTTGGCAACAAAATATACATTTATAGATTGCAAAAAACATAAACAATGTATTTTTGAAAAATATAACCCTTAAACTTCTCTTTGAAAATCATAAAGAAAGGTAAGTTGTAGCCCATATTATAAAACTCATCAATAATATGGAAAAGGGGCAAATGTACTAGGCAAATAAATAACAGATATTTAGATTGCCTTGGCAAACACTATCACTCAAAGCACCAAAAATGTTAACTCTTCTACACTATAAATATTAAAAGGCTAATCTCAGAATGTACTGTAGCCTGGTCCTAAAGATCTCTGTAATGATCCAGTAACAAAGGAAAATTTAACAGGCTTGTACAGTAGGTATAGGAACTGCACAATTACAAAATGCTTTGCACTTTTTTATTTAATATTGGAAATTAAAAAGTGCTTTCATCACTAACACAAACACATATGTATATTGTAAATTATAATTGACAGAATATCTTGTCATACACTATCAATCAAAAAGAAAATGATTAACATTTTCTTATGTTAGTCTAACAAGTTTACCACCAGCAGCTGAGTACCTGGTATTTTTATGATAGTAAAAGGCTTTTACTGTCATCAATTTTTCTGAATGCCATTCAGCGTATGTCCTGTAAATGAGAGAATAGGGACATTTTGTCCATAAAACCAAATTTGTTGGACTAACCTCTAAAGTGTTGTATTTCAAAAACCATATCCAAAGAACTGTCCACAGCCAAAAGGCTGTGTTCCTTTTCTTCTCTTTTCAACATTTAATAAACCTTTTCTTGTTCCATTTAAAAAAAAATCTGTTCATTTTCTAATTTGTAAATATTTTAGAAATAATTCTGAGTCATGTTTTAACCCAGGTGAAGACAAGGACTATGTTTTGTGGTTAGCCCATTCATCAAATGAAGAAAGCTCTGATAATGACGGTTGTGTTCTTGGGTACAAGGAGAGGTTCAGGAGACTGAAAAAGCTGTCTGTCTGCAGAAATGGAAGGGATTACATTGTCAGCAAAGAAGAAACACCCTGCCCATGCACAAGACATGATTACCTGTGGTGAGAATAGTACTAATACATGATTATTAATAACAATAACTAATTCTCTTGGTATCTCTAACAGTTGGGGATGATTGCTTTCCATGATTATCTTATCTGTGAGTCTGAAGAAGGTTGATGAAACCAATCCTGGATAGTCTATTGTAGTTCTGGCATGAGTTCCCAAACAGAATGATAAAATACTTTCTTCTGAAGCCTGTAATTGGACAGTTGGACAACATACCTGGTCTAACAAAGTAAATGTGAAATTGATAATTCTCTCAATGCCCATTGGTTTTGCATGTGAGAGGATGCTATGTCATCTTAGAGTAACATGGGGATCACAGTTGCCACAGACAGTCAAAGGCAGCACATTTGAATTGGTTATACCTCTTTGTTGATGTCAGTCAATTGTGATTTATGACAACCAAAGGACAGGAAATGCTCAATAATCTGCAGAGACTGCCCATGAATTTGAATTGCCAGAGCTAGGGACTGATTTGTGTGAAGGACCTGAGTATTCTCAGTGTTAAACATTGGCAAGTGCTTGAAGATCCACTTGCACATGAGAAAACATTACAGTGTGCCTCAGAGTACAGGAGCCTGATGGCTAACATCGGACTTTCTAGCCCCTTCCTCATATAGGGCGAGCAGACCAGATCTTGAAGAGGGCTGCTCAGACAGCTGCTGAAATAAGCTCCAGTCCTTATTTGCCTTTGTCCCAGTTCACGTATGAACTTCCAGAATTCCCAGTCCTGCTCTCTTCATCACATACTGATCACCAAAGAAAAGATCGCCAGTGATGACAGTGCTAGTAGATATTGTTCCCATGGAAGATACATGTACTGTATATAACTTCTTTTATCAGTGAGAAGCTGTTATACACCAGCTTCTATGTGGTTTTTGAAAGAATGCGACCTTCATCTATTGGCAAGGGGATTATATGGATGATTTCTTTGAGGTCTCATTGTGAAGCATTATTCTTCGTTGTTGAAATTCTGACATATTTTTGTACCCGTTCCAACAGGTTAATCCCTTCTAAAAGCAGCGAGTGGCTTAGCCAGATGGATTAATGAGTAATTCTTTTAGTTTAGAGTGAGTTATTGCTCAGGTTTTCCCTGATTGGTTGATCAGAATTTGAAGATCCCACTTTTTCTACTTTTATTGGTGTGTAGTTTTTTTAAACCACATTGCTGCGGCACAACAGTGCAGCAAAATGTGTAGTTATCAACAAAATAATGCCAAAGGTGTTTTTCATCTTCTCCTTAGTCAGTGAATTTGCTGTGATCAATACTAATAACAATAAATTGTTTTAAAAGTGAAATGATAACAATAACACAATGATGAAAACATCATCAAAGGAGCTGAGGAGATACAGCAATTATTAATCTTCTATGGGCAGATTGTGATTTTCTTGAATTTCAGCACCATTTTGCAAAATGTTCTGGAGTCATTAACTTTGTTTCTCCTACATCACCACACATTTTATTTTTCTCCCCAGTGACTATGGTTACTATCGCCATGAAAACAGTTCAGAATGTATTGAACAGCCTGCTTTCGAGAACCATACACTCGAGTTGTGTTTAAATGGACAGGAAGAGTTGCTCCAAACATCTGGGTAATGTACACTTAGTTAAGAATATTTATTCATTGTCCACTGAGTTTTGGAATTAGTTTTAGTTTAAAGCCTATTATTTCTTAATTCATATGTTAACAAAAGTATGCCATTTAAAAAGAACATGTTATAATTTTTTTTTTTTTAAATGAATAAAAAAATGTTGAAAAAAATAAGTTTATTGGTAAGGATGACATTCTTTAGTTAAATCGCGTTTGAAGAGAAAAGGTCATAAGTCTGACCTAAGGATGAATGCCAGTTGTCCACAATAATTTAAAGTCAATCAACCATATAAACTCTTAATTACCGTGCTGGAAATGTGTGAAGTTGTAAAGCAAAGGTGCAATAGTAACCTGGAACGATTATTCCCGATCACAAGCTTGGAAATGTATTTGTTGTAGTACTTACGAACTTAAAAGCTTATTATTGTATTGAGGTTTTACTAGTGCATGCTGAAGTTTGAGCATAACTGCCATGCATTTCAGTTCTACACGCTGTGTTCTATCCACATGTTCTCTTTGCTTTTATGCTTCCTCACCCGATCGGCAGGACATCTATATAACGAATTTATATATAAACACTCAGATCACTTTCATGTGTTGCCTTTGCAGCTCTGAATCTTGTCTGCAGCATTACATTATCTGAGCTGTGTTAAATATCAATGCTTCCTCTTACCTTCCTGGACTTGCACGTGGGCTTGGGGTTATAGTCTTCGATTATACAGTTTTCATGCTTTTAAGGTTCCTGGGCCTCTTATTATATCTGTACTTTAAAAGATACATGTACATAAAATGTAAACCAGTATAGCTTGACAATTGGCACTGTATTTTACATATTATATTGTTAATAATTAATAATAGTGAAATAATTGTATTATATTTTTAAATGGGTAAATCAATAACTTAATTTTTATGTATAGCCAAAAATTACGCGTAGCTTTCTGTTGATTTGACAAATATTTGAAATTGTTTATTTTTTCTGAGAGTTATCACTCGGCTTTACATTAAAATGAAGGTATAATCTTCTTACCAATATCATATTTACATGTAGAGTATATAATGGAAACTACCTGTAAAAAATCTGTAAAAAATAAACATTATTTCTCTGATAACTTACCAGTTAACTGTACTCTTTGGAAAACAACAAAATTACATTGACTGAAAAGTACCTAATGAAGCAAATATTTTGCTAATCATTTTGCAATGTAATGTGAGGGCAAATGCATATCAAAATGACTCTGCCTTTCTGTCTCGTGTTTAAATGTCTGTTGATAGCTGACAATTGTTATTATTGCCGCAGATATAGAAAAGTTCCAGGTGATAAATGTGAAGGAGGATTTACACCACAGCGGAAAGAGAAGAACATAAATAAGCAATGTGGGGCATTTTCTCAGGCTTCAGAGTCAAAACCTGTGAGTAATTTCTAGAAGATTCCAGTGGTACATTCTTTGCTTTTCTGTAAAGCAGGTTAAGAGAAACCATTTTTCTTCTTTTTTGTTCACTGTAGGAGACCACCATCGTGACGGCTTTGACCATTACCATTATGATAGTGGCGTTAAGTGCTGCTGTATTTCTCATTGTTAGAAAATATGTATTTGGAGGAAGGTAAGAAAAAAGAAAAAAAGTCAACTTCTTACAGCTGTCATTCAAAAGAGAACGTTTTTTTCATGAATTTATGGGAGTTGAATCTATAGGAATTTGTAAATATATACTGTATTTTAAGACATGGGTATGGAATATACAATGCAAAATAAAATAAAAATATTTTGATTTGGTCTGTATAAATATTATTTGCAACTCAAGACATTATTAGTCATGTTTACCTGAAGGCCATAGGTTTTTCCCAGTTGGGTAAGCCATTCATAATGTTATGTATAGCAATACAAGCATGTTTGGTTGCTGCAAGTAATAAGATTATTATCAGAAAACACACTGGAAAAATCAGTGGAATGTGACTAAACAACATTGCCTTTTTACTGGAAATAAGGTTTGGTAGTAGATAGAAGAATTATTAGATTATTAACCTTCCACTTGTAAATTGACTCATGGCTGCCTTTCTTTCCTTAGGATATTGGCATACCGCTTTTCTGCTTTGCAGCAACAGGATGATGACCCATGCATTACCGGCAACCTGAACAATGTAGTCAGTAATGGACGAGGTTTTCATGACGACTCCGATGAGGTAAATATCTGGGATCTCACCTACATGATGAATTTCTGAAGGAAAGATTTAGTCATATCTTAATCCCATTAGGTAGAAATCTAGCAGACAATTTTTCTTTCTTTCTAATCTTATCAAATTAAAAATCGACCATTTTGGTGATCAAATTGTTATCACAATATTTCCCTCTAACTAAGGCCTCAAAGCCAGATACGATTCAACAAGGATGCCATCAGTTCCAGGATGTATACTTCTTTTCTTGTCCTTTAATGTCTCTGATAGCTCAGATAAGGATTTGGGCACAGATAAGGATTTCTTCAGTACAGCTACCTCTGCAGAAAAAAGATTAGGCAAGTGCAGAGATTGCAGGGGTCTCAAAGCTAATAGGTGGCTGGGTGCAATCAATTAAGTTAAGCTTGTTTTAATTACAGTTTATATCCATATACCCATCACCTGATATAACCTTAGCCTTTGACAGATTATACTTCAAGACAAAAAAAATGACACAATTTAGGAAGTCCCAAGCCAGGTATATATTTAAGGTGCATACCAACAAATAGTAGTGCTGAAATTGTCCTTCATAGTTTTCTGTGACAGTGTGTAGTGGGAGGCGCTGCGGCAAGCACCAGTAAATAGTCTACGCCCCAGGTGAGGGGACGGAAACACTGGTGTGAGGTTAGCAGGGACCACAAACAATACAAAAAGAGTGGCAAAAAAAACAAAAAGCAAAAAGTACCGCTGTGCCTCGTGACCTCCAGGCTGGGCTTACCTTATTTAACGGGATCCAGCCTTGGGGGAAAAAAAGAAACCGCTATTACAGTGGCAAAAGAGCAGGGCATGGAAGGCATAAACAAAACAAGAACTTGGTGTGTAAAAAAAGTGTGTGCGTGCCTGTCCAGGTGAAAGTGTGTGATGAATGTTTTTGATTTCTTTTTTTTTTTTAGGATCTCATTGGTTGATCATACTGTACCTTGAAATACAATTCTCCTTTTATATGTAAAATGCGTTGGGATCCTTTGCGATGAAAATCAAGGAAAGAAAGGATGGATCCTCAAACCTGTGGATATTTCTGTGTGAAAGATAATCTCATTTTAAAGGGCTGATGTGGGACCCTCCCCTCATCTGTCATATTGTCTGCAAGCATGTACAACTGTAATTTCCATGCCTTAAGGCAGGGTTGCATATTTCATTTCTAAATTTACAACTTAAGAAAAATGAATTGTTTCAAAGGACAATTAATTGTTTCAATTAAGCAAATATTGAGTTAAATCATTAATTAAGGACAGAGGTATAAGGAAACAGAAACCTCCTGGCCCTTCACGACTGGAATTGTGTGCCCTGTCTTAAACTTCTACGTGTTTGTGTGCTCATGCCTTCTTAGCACTCAGCAGATTGAGTCATTTTCGTTAGTATGTGATTTTTCTTATTTGCTATAGGAAGGGGTGGAAATTGATTACTTAAAGCCATGTTGTATACCGTATTTATTATAGTTTGAACAAATGTATGTTGTTTTCTTTCAAAATATTTAATTAACATTAAATCTCAGGTGAAACGACACTTTATAATAAAAATGTTTATTTGCAGCATGAAGCCATTAATGTACTTTACACTGGATACAACTGTTACATTTTTTGTTTTGCACTATCTTATAAAAATGCATGTCTTGACAAATTCAAAATGTGTTTATTTGTATAAAGTCTTTTGATACAAGAGTATGTATAGGGGTGTTTTTAAAACAGTTAACGTTTTTATTCAGTTTGAAAAGATCCACAAATGGTGTTTTCATGTTCAACAATTTTTGAGTAGTTTTTTTCTTCCAAATGTGATGTTAAAATGGAGTACCATTTAAGTTAAATTCAGTAAAATAATTGGAATATTAATTCACAACACATGTTACTATTAATCAGATGGAAACATTTCCTAAATTAATGGCCTTGTATTGGTACAGTGATGCAATGTGCATGTTAATGTACAAGTCACAACATTCTTTCATTTGCACATATCTGCCAAAATGCAATAACAAAAACACCATACTCTATTTTTGTGTTGTTAAAATGTCCTTTTAGCTAAGTGAAAGTCACTTAATGATTATTATATATGTATGTAGGAAAAGGGATTTTTGCAGACTGCAACACTTTGTCAAACACAGCATAATTTATCACAAACTTACTCTGACTTAATATTACTATCACAATTTAGAAGGCAAGGGTATTCTTTAATTTTAGATCTTGTAAATAACTTATTTCGGCACTCTTTAATGCTGTGAGATGTCAGACACGGTTTATTATATTTTTTCTTGCTGAAACTATTTTTTGATTTTATGTAACATTAATAAATTATTTTAACTGGAAGTAAAATACTAAGTAAGCAAACTGAAACCAATTATGTTTCCCTTTCTTTTTTGATGTTAGAAATCCAGAATAAAACAGAAGCATCTGAGTTCTTTTAATGTCTTATTTTTGTATATTTTTATAATGCTAACTTATAAAATCATTCAGATATCAGGGATGATATCTATAGGGTACAGTAGTACAATTAGTACAGTATTGCTGCCTTCCAGCACTGGAGCCCAGTTCTGGAACTGTGGTGCTGTCTGTGTGGTGCTCTGGTTTCCTCCCACAGGTCAAAGACATATTGGTAGGCTAACTGGCGTCTGAGAAAATTGTTCCTATGGTCTGTGTCTGTGTCTGTGTGTGCCCTGTGATGGACTGGCGTCCCGTCCAGGTCGTACCCTGCCTGGTGCTGGTTGTTTGCCAGGATAAGCTTCAGCGCCCCCACAACCCTGTATTGGATAAAACAGCAAGAAAATGGATGGATATCTCAAGATGATACAACATGATTTAGCAGCATTGTTGTTGCTTGGCCTTTAGCAGTTACTAATATGAACACATTATTGATCACAGATATAGTTAATCTATTGTAGCTACCCATACAATATGTCGAAAGTTGATTGTCATTGTTACTTTTTATATTATGGGATGGTCTTTCTATTAAGAATAAAATAGCACAAAGACAAAAATTGCACGTATATTGTAGACATGCAAATGTATTAGCTTTTTCATTATATCATCATTTTTTAACTATATGCTTTGAGCAACATTGATTCCTTGAAACACAAGTCAAGCAAAATGTCTTTAAAACTGCTGTACTCAGCATCAGTAACAACTGGGAATGTTAGTTTGTAAGTAAAATCAAGAACCATTTAACTAGCATCTTCCTGACAAAAGTGTTCTTGGTGTAAAGTGGATGTTTTTCAAGTAAATACATTTGTTTGAATTTTCTAAAACTTGCACATATTGTTAAAACAGTGGAAAGCACTTTTTCTACATCATGTCAACCATTTAAATCTTTTATCCATGTTAGATTTGACACGATACCTCATTTCACCAACAAGAGATAATGAAGTGCATCACAACAGAGGATGCCATAAGGGATAAGCATTTACTTTGTTTCGACTGCTTTTTGTTTATTTACTGTCAATTTCAGCACACCTTCCATTACAGTGTCTGTCATTATTAATAAAAATAATAAAACATCATTACATTTATATAGAGCTTTTCTGGACACTCCACTCAAAGCACTTTACAGATAACCACCAATGTGTAGTATGATGCAACATACGCTCACCACAGATCAGCTATCAGAGAGATGCAGCCAATTCAGAGATGGGGATTATTACCATGATTGGGAAAGGACAATGGAATATTTGTCCAGGATGCCGGGTTAACACCCCTCCCCTTTTTTTTTTAAGAAACACCCTGGGATTTTTAATGACCACAGAGTGTCAGGACCTCAGTTTTACGTTGCCTCCGAAGGACAGCGCCTTTCAACAGTATAACATCCTCATCACTATATTGGGCCATGAGGACCCACACAGGCCGCAGGGTGAGCGCCCCCCTACTGAACCCACTAATACCTCTTCCAGCAGCAGCCTCGCAATAGCTTTCACAGCAGTCTCCCATCCAGGTACTAACCAGACTCACACCTGCTGAGCTTCAGTGAGCTGACAGTTTCGATTTGCAGGGTGATAGGACTGCTGGCAGCCATATAACTAATGTGTTCTCAACAGCTCCCGCACGACGAACCGATTAAACTCTATGAGGATGAACCTGGACTTTACAGGACAGTGTATTCACCCCATGCAGTACTATTCCCGTTGGCCCTGGGCGTAATCGCCACTGTCGTAATCACACAAATCGTGCTTACCTGACTTCAGCTTACAAGCGGAACCTCCCGCGGTCCCGCTGTTCGCTTTATTTAATTTAGTGTGTGATGATGAGATCGCCCGCATTCTTGTAAATAGTTCCCTGGTTTCGCCCCCTTGTTATACTTGTATCCAATTACCACACTATCCCTGCGTAGCTACCCGAATAGACCCCAATGTACTGCTCCCTCTCGACTCTTTCTGGCGCTTGCTCGTTCTCTCTCACTTTCAGTCTGTGTTTTGCTCTGCTGGTGCGGAGTGCTGTGCTGCCTGTACCGAAGTTCAAGAAAAGCGCTGTTTTCTCTACTCGACGAGTGTCTGAGTCACTGAGTCTGTCCTCGCCGAACCCGAAACTATTACAGTATTTTAGATACAGATCACTTCCTTTAAAATGCATACATCTTAGTGAGAACAGATGTTTAAAATCTGTATCGTGGTCACTGTTTTTATCCTTTAAAACTTTTTAGTGAGATGACTTTTGAGCATTATACAATAAATTGGGAGTACCCAACCCCATATATGCAGTTTACTCTGTACCTCAGCTCTTAGGTGGCCTACTGAAATAATCATTGGCCTAACTGGAGGGGGGTAACAGATTTTCCAAACTCCACAGGTTCCGCTGATTTAAAGACACCTTTACAAAGTGCTTCACCCTCCAGGACTGGAGCTGAGCACCCGTGCTTTACACGCTTAAAAGTTTTTTTAGCAGCAGAATTACTTAACATTTAAATCTGTTCTTAATGTTACTTAACGTAAAGGTCATAACAGAAGCGTTTAATTTCATGTAAAGTTTGTAAACACGAATGATTAAAATAAACAAGAAGTACTTTTTGGGATCTCTTTCCTTTAAATGTATCTAATTGTTGTTTTATATCCAACACTTGAAGTACTATAATCTTCCTTTCGAAGCCGTCGACTCCTCCTCGGTAGGGGGCAGCAATAGGTGTTATACAGAGGCTTGAAGCTGCTCTTTTCTTGGCAGAAAATTATAGTACTTCCAGGAACGGACGCATTAAGGAGGAAGTAGAGCTGTCGAAACGGGAGGAGAGTCTGTATTTTACCTGTCTCCGTGGCGTACGCCAGGTAGGGTTATTTGGATGTGTGGTCAATGGCTATCCTTATAATTGTCCATGTGCTAGATGTACAGAAAACTAAAAATTGCATGGCTTTGTTTCGGGAAGTACATCTCGTGTTTGTGAATTGGCGTCGCTGTGTATAAAAAAAAATGGAAAATACGTTATGGATGGATGTAGATTTCACTTACCTGTACGTCACAGGAGCGGCAGGTGAAAAAAAATCGAATGTAATTTTCAGTCAGCTAACTTTGCCGCATTCCGCCGCGAATAATTAAATAAGTTGAGCATGCTTTTGACGTCTTTTAAATAGCCTAGATCCCATTCGGATTTTGCAGTGCTCTGGTGACAATCATACACAAGTATCATGGGTAGGGTTATCATAGCAGACTGACACGACTGAGAAATATATCATGTAGTTTCTAAGTTGCTGTTGATGTCGTTCCCAAATGGGAATGCGACATTTATATAAAAATGTGGAAACCATTCATCCTTTTCTTTTGTGGGAGCTGAGTCGGATAGAGTTGCTAGTGGTGGTGTCATTTTGTTGTTGTTTATTTAATTTTACTGGGTCTTGTTTTACTAGTCTTTTACTGGTTTACTCAGACTTCTAGTTTATAACACCCATGGGTGGTTTAGATTTAAGCCTTTTAAAGATAAAAAGAAGTACGTTAAAGCGTAAACGCATTGAAAGTGTGGGGGGAAAATAGTACGAGGACCGCTTAAAAAAACCTGACTGTAAAAGGGAAAGCTGGACTTTATTTTATTTCTCTCTTATCATGTAAAAAGCTGGAGTTAAATCGAGCTCGCTCTTATCATGTATTCAATAGGTAAGCGCTGAAATTGTCAGTTTTATTGCTTAGTACAGTAGTTGTCTTTCTAGGTAAAAACATCATCGACACATAAAAGAAATTGCATTTTACTATCCGTTTGATTCAGTGCGTTTGCATTTTCAACCTACGGCTCCAGGTAACTTAATAAAATACTATTGCAGTCATCTTAATACCTTATCTTTTGTCTTGATGAATGCAGTAAAATGTGTATCTGCTCTTTCTTCTGCTTAATGGCAGATATAATTAATATTGTGGCCTTTATTCAAAAAGTATTTAGCAAAGCTAACAAAACTAATTGTTTTTGAAAAGGTTGTTTTTTGTAGGTCTACAATGGGCTGCTCTGCTCTTGTATTTTGATTACATTTTGTGGGGCATGCTTTAAATACCCTTTTCTGAACATCTGGACTCTTCCCTTGGTGTGCTTGGGGAATCCTAGTCATGAGGATTCCTAGTCAGGTGGACCGGTGGCTCTGTGGCTGGAAGGTTGCCTGTTCAAATCCTGCGGCCGACAGAGGAATCCTACTCCTTTGGGCCTCTGAGTAAGGCCCTTAACCCCAGCTGCTCCAGGGGTGCCGTTTAAATGGCTGACCCTGCGCTCTGAGCCCAAGTTTCTTTCTCCCTGTCTGTGTGTCTCATGGAGAGCAAGCTGGGGCTTGTGAAAAAAGACAAATTCCTAATGCAAGAATTTGTATATGGCTAATGAAGTGATCTTATGGATACCTAGCATTATTACTGAGGCTTGACCCCACGATTACAGAGATTAACCAGCTCTCAGGCAAGCACTTTTATCGGCTGAGGGACTGAGCAAAGCTCAGGCCCTTCCTTTAAATAGCAGGCTGTAGTTCCATACTATCATCAGAAAGGATGAATCACACTCCAGTATCTACATGTATATCGCAGCTGTCATTAAAACAAATTATGTCATGGTGTTCTGGAGCTGTGTGACAGTTTGTGTGTTTCTAGTGCTTTGTTTTATTTCTGTCTGGATTTTGCAATCAAAGTAGAAACCGTTTTTGAATGATTTTTCTCTTCTTGTCGGCTGTTTATTCTGATTGAGGATGCGCATGTATTTTGACCCTAAGAAATTTCAAAAGACAATATTTATAATGGAACTTGTAACTTACACCATATAAGCTCAACTGTTGTGTAAAAGCAGACATCCCTCAGCTAAGAATGTCTATAGTGCAGCTATAAGTAGAAGTAAAAAGCAGACATAACATGTTCTATAATATAGTACTGGAATGCGAGACCTCCAAGGAAAACTGGGTTTCAGCTGTAACTGGTGTTGGTGGATCAATCTGTGGCCCTCTTCCCTCTGGAAGACATCAG